CCACCAGGGAGGGCCCCGGAGATTGAATATTTTTAAGATTTAGTCACTATTTACATTTTGTGGATAATTCATTGAAAGATCATAAGACTGAATAAAAAACCCACTTCAGAGAGCCTAAGCCTATAGAGGAATGCATTGGATGAATGCTGGGATAGCTCAAGAAACTCTTTGGTTCAAGGAGGGTGACAACTGAGATTTAGAGTCACAGTACTAATCCCAAATCACAAAGAGGACTTCAGCCCAGCACGAGTTGGGTGCTCATACCTGAACCAATCAGCCTTATCCCAGGAAAAATCCTTGTGCAAACATGATTGTTCCTGGCACAGACACCTGTGTGGGGGATGAGGTGGTGGGCCAGCAGGACAGTCCTAGAAAATGAGGAGAGCTGTTTGCAGAAAAATGGGGTAGAAGGAACAAAGTGTAAGGTGCCCACTATGTCTTCCAAAATGATACTGCTTAAAAAAAAAAAATTAACACCTGAATGTGGGATGTGTCTTCTGCCTCTCTGACAGGAGAGGAACTCACCAGCCAGCCCTTCATGGGCTGGCTCCTACTAACAGCAGCTCTATTTTCTCAACATTTCAAAGTTGAACCTGTGACTGGTGGGCATTAGGGCCTTGCAGGAAATGTCCGGTTACAGGGGGGAACCAAGGGCATGTCCTTGGAAAGTGACTGATGTGGGTTCTCCGAAGTGGTCAGCTTGAACCCCTTCTACACCCTTCCTCATGACTGGCTTTGACTACCCTCAGTGAAGCGTCTAGAGAATTTGGTCCACTGGGAGACCTAAGATAAAAGCCCCGAGTACTGAACTGCTTTCAAGGTTCCAAAAATTAACTTAAAAGATGAGGAAATAGTTCCATACTTTTAAAATATTTATTCATGCATACAGAACTGGGGTATAGGCCAGAGGTGTGGAGGGTGAGAGGCTTCACCAGAGACAGAGTAGGGAGCAGAACAGACAGATAAATGAAGTACACTGCTGAGGGGAACAGTGGGTGGGTCAGGAGAGGTCTGCTGCGCCATGTGGTCACCTCCTGGGCCAGGGATCAAACCTGCACTGAAGCAGCTGCTGCTAGCTTGCAGTGCTGTGCTTTAATCCACTGCACCACGAGGGAGGGCCCAGAAATAATATTCTTAAGATCCCCCCTTTTTTTTTTCTTGCAAGACCTGCATTGGCTGAAGTTGTATATTTATTGTGTATGTATAATCTATTAAACCCTTAAGGATATGAGTAATGAGAAAAAAAGAGACACCCTACATAGAAACATGCCCAGAAATTCTGATCATGCCATGAATACAGTATGAAAACAGAAAGAGCTGAGAACCCTCCAATCCCTGGCCAGGGAGGACACAGCAGACCTCTCCTGTCCCGCCCACTGCTCCCCTCAGCAGTATATTTTGTCAGTTGGCCTGTTTTCCTCCCCTGTCTCTGATGAATACTCACTCCCTACACCCTTGGTCTGTACCCAATTCTTATATGCATAAAATAAATCTTTTTTTTTTTTTAAATGGGAGTTGAGAATTCAGTTGTGTTCTTCTCTGGCTCCAGCTTTGTTCCCCTGAATCCACCTCAGCAGTAGAGGGAATAAGACCCAGCTTTAGATCATCTCAGCCATTTGATCTTTGCACCTAGATGCGGGTTCTGGACAAGCTGATGGTTGAGCGACTCTCTGCAGAGAGGACGGAGTGCCTGCACCGCCTGCAGCAGCATGCAGACACAGAGAAGCACGAGAGGGACAAACGACAGGTGACAACCAGAATGAAGGATCAGATCTCTAAGTGAAAACCTCTCAGGAGGCCAGGTGCCCTAAAAGCACCTTAATGACCTGGCACATCATTTTATAAGCAAAGACTGGTTTGGTTCCTGTCCCTGAACACACTGGCGGTGGGTAGGTCAGCGCACAGAACATGCTGCTGATGTCCTCTCTGCCTCAGTCAGTTGTGTTGTGCACTTGCTAGCCCATCGCGGTCTTTGCACAAGGGTCCCTGTCCTCAGGGGGTTGATGGTCTACGCAGGACCGTGAGCCTGGGTGTGTGAGAGAACTCATGCTCTTGAGCAGCCAGAATGCTCGGCTGAGAAGACTTGGGATACTTCGTGTGTCTGAGTTGAAAGTGCCTGTGAGTTGCTTTGTGAAGAGCGTAGATAGCCCTCTGCCTGGCTGCGGGCAAATCCTGGTCTGTGGAGGAGGCAGGGTGGGCCGTCCACAAGCGGTGGGCTTGTCAAGACCATACCCTCAGCTATCACAACTGGAGAGCCCTTTCTTGGTGTTTTAAAAAGCATGCATGAAGTTTACCTAGTTATTCTATTAACTTTTTTTTTTAGATGACTTTGGTAGATGAATTAAAAACCTGGTGCCTGGTAAAGATTCAGAATCTGGAGCTGAAGCTTTCTGGAGATTCTAGGCCCACTAGGGCCAAATCTACACCATCTACTTGCGAGTCCTCCACAGGTAATGCATGTGCAGAGTCGTTCCGAAGGTGGCGAATGCCTGGATCTCATTCTCACCTGTATGCTAAGGCAGTCCATAGGATAGGGCTGTGGAAGACACTGGATTTTTTGGTAGTGTTTGCCTATAGAGACAAGGACCATATTTTGCTGCAATAAAGTTTAAGTATGAAAGTATTTAAAAAAGGGACTAAAAGAACTGTTGATCGCTGATAGCAGTGCTTCAGGTACAACTGATCATGTTACAGTTGACCCCCAGGAGTGGGTGGAGGGGAGAGGAGAGTGGATCCCTGAAGTCTCAGCAGGATGCCCCTTGCCTTGTGCCTCTTTCTTCTCTCTCCTTTGATCAGCCTGTAAATGTATAAAACCTCATTAAGCAGCAGTTCATATCTGAGGCTGCCCCAGGTGCTAGGCCAGAGATGTTTTGAACAAAGTACCTTCTCATTAGCCACAGTGATTACACTTGGTGATGGTTTTGAAGACGGAGCTTGGTAATGGCTTCAGTGGGGGATAGATAAGGTGTCATGGGCCATCACAGGAGCTGTGTGCTTATCTTCCTTGTGCCCATAACACTGCAGAAAATCCTGGGTGATGTTTTCATGTCAGAATTTGTTATGGAGTGCTGGATTTGCTGAATAGGATCCCCTATCCTAGCTGGAGTTTGACTCAAACTGTTGTACTGGGGAGCAGAAATCAGAAAATGGGGATTTTCATTGTCATCAATCAACGCCCAATTCTGTCTTGAAACATCGTGAGCCATGTGACCCTCAGCAAGTAGTACATGGAAACTTCCACGGTTGATGGTGATAGGCTAGAGGAAAGGCCAACTTTTTTGGCCAGGCTCCCCCAGTGTGGCTAACATGTATACACAAAAGTTCTGAAAACCAAGACACCAGAGAGGCAGAAGGGGAGGGCAGGGAGGAGTGGCATGTGCCGCGGTAGCTGAACAGGCTGAGTTAGGCTTCCCAGGACTCTCAGTGTCGACTCGCAGCCACATGGCTGGTGGTGTGGGGTTTGCTCTGACATTTGTTTTCCTTTGGAAACCAGGTATGGATCAATCAGTGGTGACTTCAGGTCCAGTAGCAGCTTCTGACACTTCCCCTCAGGTGGTTAGGCCTAAGGAAAAGGCCCTAAGCTCCACTGCCACCCACAGACTCCAGCAGGAGCTGTCTTCCTCTGACTGCACAGGCTCCCGGCTGAGGAATGTCAAGGTTCAGACTGCCTCGCTGCCTTACAACGAGGCAGCCAGATTGGATCCGCAGGCTGGGCCCAGCGTCGATAGAGGCACCCAAACCAAGAAGTCTGGGAAAAGCGGGCAAATGAGGCATCGAGGCCAGCATCAGGCACCTGGCGCCACCTGTGGGCGGCCGCCACCAGCAGCAGGCAGTGAGCAGCCCGCCCCTCATGCTCGAAACACCTCCCAGGCTCTGGAGCTCACTCAGTATTTTTTTGAGGCTGTTTCTACCCAGATGGAAAAGTGGTATGAAAGGAAGATTGAAGAAGCCCGGAGTCAAGCAAGTCAGAAAGCCCAGCAAGACAAGGCCACGCTGAAGGAACATATTAAAAGCTTAGAAGAAGAACTTGCTAAACTGAGGACTAAGGTGCAGAAGGAGAACTAGGTCCTGGGAAGTAGCTCGAGAAAGAAATCTTAGGGTTTCTGGTTTTGCAGCTGCCAGATAGCCATGCCCAGAGTGTCCATGACTGTGCACGCAGCCAACTTGCCTTTAAAAAATTACTTCTAAAATGTACCAGGCACATGCTTCCTATGCCCTGAAGTTATGAAGACTTCAACAATTAAAGTGAAAACGGGATGCTTGCTTAGTTTTCAATTTCATTGTAGGCTCAGAACCTCAGTCGGGGTTCATCTGAAGGTCATAAGCTCCAATTCAGCAAACCACGCCAAGAAGCTAAATGACGTGTGGATCTAAGCCCTAAGACACAGGATGTTTGGAATAATGTATATCAAGAGCAAAACAAAAATTAATCCCTGAATTAGTGAATGCATAGTAAGTCATCCCGTAAACACTGCTGTGCCTGGACAGGAGTGGTCTATGACAGCTATGGCCAAGTGGCACTAAACCCTTGCTTGAAAATTGTTAATTCTCAAAAAAAATGCTGACATTTTCAGGTGAAAACTTACCAAATTTTGAGGAGCAAGATTTTCATGATTAGTATATGTTCAAGTATTTTTGAAAAATCGGTGTAGTTAGATTTGAGTAGTTGACTGACCACATTGGGACTGTTTGCTCATAATGAACTCAAGTGAGGAGGTTCTAACCATTTGATCATTGTTTCTGTATTTTTAGCCAAAAGACAGAAATACTACAAATGATGAATTGTAGTGATTTGTAAACTAGATTAGTGGGGATAACATATAATTACCTGGAACTTTTACAACCTATTTATAATCAAGCCCGGTTATCTTAAGAGTACCTATCAGAATTTGAGCTTATTTGTCTACATCTTATCAAGAGATGTTTAGTTCTTCAAAGTACTTCATTTTGAATTGAGCTTTTGGCATTGAGGAACCTCAAAGGCTTCCCCCGCTTTGCAGTGACTGTCCAGGTGAGTCAGTGACTTGTCTAGTGCCCGCTGGCCCCTGGTCTTATGGAGCCAGTAAGGATTTTGCTCTGCTCTGTGGAGGGTAGAGTTGCGGAAGTTGCATGGGGCTGTAGAGACTCTGGATCTAATTACCTTCGAAGTTCCTGTCCTTTGGAATGCGGAACTGTTAATCCTCAAAATTCCAGGTATGCATACAAACTTGTATACACATAAAACTGTGTACTATTATCTAAGATTTTATATAAAATGTTGCTCGTTGAGGCAAAGAGAAAAGGACCTGTTGACATGGGAATACTCAAAAGAAAGTATGTGTTTAGTTCCTTTGGTTTTTTGCCTATCAAGTTCACTATATGTGTTTGTGTGTGTATGTATTTTAATAATGGCAATCTACAGAGAGGTATGGCTGATGAACACAGCTTTAGATGTTTGTTACCATTATAGAACCTGAATAAGGGATTCGACCTTCTCAAGGTTATTTTCACTTTTGTGATTTCTTCTTTCTCAGTTAGGACCTTTAGGTAGATGATGCCTCCCTAGAGTCAGGCCGTTGTTAAATACAGCAGCAGCACCTTCCTCCTTCCATCTCCCTCATTCTTAATGCAGGTTCCTAGAATTATAATGCTAAGTGGCCCCTTCAGATTTCTAAGTCTAGCCCCCAAAAGGCAACACTAATCTTCTTGAGAATAATTTCAGATCTACACACCAAATTTATAATATATTGCAAGTTGCCTAGTAGTCAGGAGATCAAACTTAGTGATGTCCATTAAGTCATAATCCAAGTAGGACTTATTTTCACTTATCAAAATACCTCGTTACCTCATTGAGAAATACTGAAAGCTGATGAAATTTTAATTTATTGAGGTCGTGTGGTGCTTTGATAAGTATTTTGACTGGTACCCACCAGATGCAGGGAACTTATTGTAAACTGTTACTCTTACCAAAATCACAGGAAAATTAAACTCTTGGGAGAGCAAGGAAGTCAGAGGCAGCTATTCTGGCAGACTGTGTTCTCTGTCATACGGTGGAAAATCAGTAGCGACGAGCAAATAGAACAGAGCCCACCGACCTCCTAACCCAAAGACATGGCAGCAACTCAGGACCAAGTTTTTCATGTTTAATGACCATATTTGGCTTGTTCCTTAAAAATTTGTCAAAAACTCAGTGAAAGGCCCGATGTGTATTTTCCCTTGTGTCATTGGTTAAAAAGAGCAGAATGCTCTGCTATACTTTTCCAGCAATGTAGAACTTACTGATAGCCCGTCATATAGGTCATTGTTTGAAAATGAGGCTGGAACTTTCAATAGCCTTGGGGCAAATGATGTGACACAGAAAAGTTCTACAATGTAGTTTTTTAATTTTTAAATTGACAGTGTATTATTGCATTGAGCATAGTCAGTAGCTGTGATAGATGCAATTCTAGTGCATATTTTACTTTTGGCTTTGGGACCCCAAAATAAAGTAAGTTATGTTTTCATACTTTCTTTTCAGTCAAGTGTTGATCCTTCAGAGGTATGTTGTTTTCTATTTAATAATTTTACTACCTACAATTCGTCTCTTCCAAACATTAAATGGTTCTCAACACAATGGTTATTACGTACTTTATTTTAAAATGAAGTTGTGAGTACTTTGTGTAGTTATGTTTTCATTTGTGTGGCTGGCCAAATTTTATGGTTTCTGAAAGAGTGCCTTCATCCAGCTACATTTCACCCGGTCTGTCTGTTTTAAAATAGATATCAAGTTCAATGCATGAAAAAAAAAATTATTTTGAATGTGCTGTAGTATGGAAAGTTTTCTCAATACAAACTTAAATGTTTAAGATGTTGAACTTTTGAAAAATACTGATACTGAACAAAGAAAAACAAAATACCACCTGTAACAGTATTCAGATAAGACATTTTCGATGAATAAATTGTTCTTAAAAGCTAAATACATTTCTTATGATTTAAGAACCAGTCAATTTAGGACTTAAAAGACAAAATTAGTTTTAAAAGCTACGAATAGGAAAAAAGGAATTTATATGTACATACAGTCAGTTATAAATCTATCAGCCACAAAAGCAAGAGCAGCATGTTTTTCTTTTTAGTACAAAACAGAGTGGGCAAAAAGGACTTAATCTTCTCAGTAAACAAAAATAAAAATTTAAACCTTATGTAATTTTTCAAATGCCAAAAAGAAAAGTCTGTTAGGATTTTGAGTTTGGCACAGTGATGATTTGCTTTTGATCCTATTCTATCTTACTCTTTTCTCAAGGTAGATGTGAGCTGCCCTTCTGATTCTCTCTCTTTTCATTAAACTAGCATTTTCCTTATTCTATAAAAATCTTATTTAGGTTAAGTATGGGTCTCTGCTTTTTAGCTTCTCCTGAGTGTCTTATGGGTGTGAATATAATAATGTATGTGCCAGGACATGTTTTGCTCGCCTCAAATATTAGAACGTCCTCTCTCTGCAGGTGTAGCTACGTCAGTGGCTCTTCCTGTAGTCTAAGACTTCCCGCTTTATGGCACACTTACCAGGGACAGACAGACAGGGACAGCTGCTGTGTTCAGTAATAAACAGCCTGGCCGCTTTCATACACTAGAAACATTTTTTAATACAAATTTGAAAAAAAAATCAAATTTTTTAAAGTTAAACTTCAGGAACAAAACCTTAACATTCAAATCAAAGTGTAGTTTACAGGGAACATCCAAAAAGATAATCTGTCTAGCTCAGAATCTTGATAGAAGATGATGAATAAAGTACTTGTGTTCTGGATGACATCTTAAGGCATGGCACCATACTTGAGAACAAATTGCTAAAAAAGACTTGGCTTGTAATTCAGAGTGGGTAAAACACTATAGTGAACAAGTTAAACTGTTCTTGAAAGCATGAAGCTTATGCTTTCATCTCCATCATGACAATCTTATCCTCGGGAGGAATTCAATTTTCAGTATTTTACCCACTTTAAAAACCAACACAAAATACGGCAAACTCTAAGTTAGCTTTTCTTGGGAGCCTGGTATTTTCATCTCATCAATTCAAATGCTCTGAAATCTCCCTCTTTAAATGCTTTCAAGTCTGTGTATCGGAGGAACATCACCAATTCAATGACTTGCACACATCAGAAAAATGCCTTTTAGCTTCAAGGAGTTTAGATTTGCTAGAGACTGCCTATATTTGTGTACATCCATTATGCCACACTAAAAGAATGAAGAACAAACATTTCCAGAGTGTTCAGAAATTGTTGACAAATGCTGCTTCTGTTCATCATAGGCTTTGCAACAAGTTAACATCCATTCTATATAAAAATCTGGAAATTGGCTCACGCAAACATCTTGGCTTCCATTCCCTGTAGAAGAGTATTCAGAATTACTTTGTCCTGTTGGCTGTGAGGTTGTGGAAGGGGTGGACCCCGCAGTGTGGGTCACTGACATCCAGTGCTAGAGCTTATGCCTCTCTCTACTAGTAGATCTTATTTTTTTCTCTTTCTGGTGCTGGTCAGAGTCTTGGGTCTGCAGATAAACAGAAGACTTCAGTCTCCAGGACAGACTATACCAGCCTCTTCCCAGCTTTAACTATATTATGTTATAAATTCCATCTCTTTTAAAGCGTGTCCTGAAGTCAACTTCTGTCTCCCACGTATTTTTCAAATTCTTTTTTTTTTCTGTCACTGGAGAACCCAAGACACTAAGGATCTTCCCTAAAGATTTATCTTACATTTTCACACGGATGCTAAGGTAATTGCATTAACTTCATCCAGAAGTTGCCTCAGTTTTCCCTCTTTTTGGTAAAGTACTTCTGTGTGTTCATTAAGCTTCTCATTCTCACAAAGATCTAGATTTTCAATGGCAATCTTTTCAAGAATCCTCTCAGTACCAGTCCACGACACATATGAAGAACATACCTCAGCAACTGGAGGGATAAGGCAGGATTTTTCAAGTAAGTTTCAGAGTGTCTACTGAAGTCAGTATACATCCAGTCCAACATCTCATATTGTTAAACAATATTGATTTACATGTTATCTGTCATCTCTCAATGCTTAAAAACCAGGAAAGTAAAATGTACTACTATGCATACGTTAGTATATTCACGGAATTAAGCAACCAACATCATAAGCTAAATTCGGAATATTTTCATCACTCCAAAAAGAAATCTCATACCATTAGTGGTTACTCTCAGTACTACATAGAATCCTAGGCATCTGTTTTTATCTTTCTGCCTATTCTAGACATTTCATATAAATGGAAACATACAACATGCCATCTTTTGTGACTGGTTTCTCTTAATGATGTTCTTAACATTTATCCAGGTTTTAGCAAGTATTAATACTTCATTTTTTTAATGATAAATTTGTACAGAATTATTTCACTTTAACCAATTATCAGCTGATGGGAATTTGGATAGTTTCAATTTGGGGGCTATTATGAATGATGCTACAGTAAATATTTGTGTACAAGTTCTTGGTAGACATGTTTTTAGTTCTCTTGGTTATAAACCTAGAATTGGTAATATTTTTTAACTTTTGAGAAACTACCTTTTAAGCACCATTTTATGTTCCAGCCAGTAATGTCTCAGAGTCACAGGATTTCTACAGTTTCACCAACATTTGTTATTATTTTACTTTCTAATTATGGCTGTTCTAGTGGTATCTTTCACTGCGGTTTTGATTTGCATTTCCCTGATAGTTAATGAAGCAGAACATCTTTTTGTGTGCCAGTCGTCCATCTGTTGTGCAGGTTTTTGCTTCTTACAAAAACTGCTGAGGGAATCTGTAACATTTTCATAATACAGGGTATATTTTCAGTGCGAAGGCACTTGTTCCTGATGGGCTTTTCATTGCTCTCTATGACATGACATACTCCAGTTCTGATGTTTTGTCCACGAGCTATACATACAAATGACTTTGGCTTTGGGCAGGCATTGTTGAGCCTGAGCTTCAGCTAGACAAAATACAAATTCTGAAAACCTTTCAGAATAATATTAGGATTTTGCTAAAGCAAGTGTTTTTTCTAACTCCTTGAGCTGCATATTGCCTTGGGTAATCATCATTCGGATCGTATCCTGAAAAGAAAAGAGAAATATGGTCACTGTTTCACCTAGTTAAAAGGTACAGCTCTGTTTTGTTTAAGTCAGGAATCAGTATTGAGAATTAGAATTGCTGCATATTAGGAAAATCCAGAGCTGACAAAAGGGTACAAAATGTCTGGCTTACATATATTCCAGTCTTTCCCAAACTCATGCTGTAATAATCTGTGTATGTGCTTGTGCATGCATGCTCCAACAGAAAGGGTCAAAGTAGGTGGAGCAATGATTATAAAATTTGAAATATCCTTTGGGAAATCAGTAACATTAAGAACAATGATTCAGATATATCACACCAATGACATATTTCAAGACAGCTACTAAACTTCTTAAAAGTCTACCAGTCAATACAAAAGGCCAGGGCTGGTCCTCACCATGGTCTTGTTTTTACCTCTTCAGTGGCACTTTTGTTTCTTTTGAATTCTTCTCTTGCCCAGTCCTTCAGATATTTGCGATCAGAGTCATTTGGAACTTGTCTAATTGCTTGTAAAATCCTTCTGTAGAGGAGGAGAACTTGTTGCCTTCTCATGAACTGTACAGGAGAGGAGAGATGGCAAGTAAGTCTATAACTGACGTACCTGTGGTTCTTTAGCAAATAAATATGCAATCAGATGACTTCTTTAGTCCTCAGTTTTGAAAAGGGTAAAGAAAAACTTTCTTCCTTTAAGGAAAAAAAAAGGCAATTTGTTTATTTGGGCTGTTTACTGATTCCGTTGTCAACTCTAATGGCCCTTAAAAAAATCGAGACTCGACTCCTGGGCAGGCAGAGGGCTGTCAGTGTCCTCCTAGAAGTTAGAACCACGGTAACAGCACTCTTTCTAAATGAACGCAGTTGCTAAAATCCTTTGGCAATCTCACCTTCTCCTGAGGCTGCAGTTCACTACAACAGGCAGGGCAATCTTCACTGTGGCCGTCAGGCGGGTGAGGCACCAGGCTCCAGCTTAGGAATCAGTACCCAAGCAGTCAGCCCATCCTACCCACCCCACTTCCCTTACTTCCACAACCTCGTTCCAAGCAGCAGGAAGGCCAGTCCCAGACCTGGCCGATCAAAGGGGGCAAGCCCACGGTCTGAGTGTATGGGGTGGCCCTTGCACCCCGCATGTTGGTGGAGGGAGACGTGGTGAGTGGAAATACTAGACCCCAGACAGTTGGCCAAGGCCAGAGAGAACAGCTGGTACCTGCTTTAGCGTGAGCGTCGCCGGGGGTAACCGGGAAGTAGCCATGTCTTCCACTCTGCGTCCTCCCAGAGCTCCACTGCGCAAGACCGGAAGTGGGGGAGCTGCCGGGGCGGGGCGAGTTGTTACCTGAGAGACAGCGGGCTTGGTGCTTGGTGAGCCCGCTGTTAAGTCAGAACAAAGCCCGCGGGTCTGAGTTTGAAGTTAGGAACCAGGGAGCCCGGGGAACACAGTTCACTTGTCTTAAGCCTACATTTTATAAAATCTTCAGAAGGCTAACAACTCTTTCCGAAGACTGTTGTGATACAGAGGAATGGTTAGGGCATTCGCACATTTTTCTGCAAGTGCCTTTCATAAAATGGAAGTTGTTTTGGGGATGGGGAAATATTTTAGTGTGTGCCTCTGAGCTTCTAAAAATGTGTATAGTTAAAAACTACTAAAAATCTAAATGTTCATTTCTCCTCTAAAACTTGTATCCTGGTCTTATCTTTTTCCCACACTGTTCTTTCTTTTGTACTGTAAGCACTTATCCAGGGTGGTAGTCTTTATAATGTATTACAGTTGACCTTTGAACAATCTGGGTTTGAAATGTGTTTGGGGGGCAAGATGGGAGATATCTACTTTTACTGGCACTTTTTACTCAAGAGTCAACTCTAGTTACAAAGTTTAAGTGATTGCCCCACTGTGGCTGTTAGACCTGTGTATCACTAACAGTGAGGAAATGAACACCCCTGTGCCATCAGCCTTCATTTCCTCAGAATTGCTTTTGCTCTACAACATATGCCACACATATTACAAAATGTTCAGTCTATCACTTTTCTGAACATTTATTTGATTGGTTGTTAGAGCGTCTGTCTGAGACTGTTAGTGGTTATCTCTGTGTTCTGATTTTATATGGTATTTTTGCCTTTTTATATTTATATAGCTTTGTCTCTAAGGACTTACGTATTTTTCTTTGAGGCTTTTCAATTTCATCAACAGTCAAGATTTTTTTTTAAATATTTGGGATTTTGATTTATGTATGACATGGATGTTTTTTCTCTCCCAGCTGCTACACTGTAATTTTAACACTGTATATTAAATAGTTCTTTTTTTTTTTTTCCTAGGGAAAGGTAAATTCTTTCAGGGTCTAATTTGTTCAGGATTACTTCATCTGGGCCTTTTATCATGTTGTTTTATTATTGTATTATCTTTCAGGATAACTCCCCTATAGTTCTTACAAAAAAATTAAGGTTCTTAAGAACTTTTAGAATTGCTAAGTTTATTGATTGTAATAGAAATAATTCCAGTGTAATATTTCAGTAAAGACAGTAAGTATTTTTGCTTTAAGAATCTCCAGTTCTCTTAAATTGCCTTTTGAGGCAATGACTTAAGAGAATACAGCATAAAATAGCTGGCTTCTTACAAATTTTTTCTTTGTAGCAGTACTTTTTTGTGACTGCACCTGCTAAAGGCTTTTTCCAAATGGCAGGTTTTGTCACTTTCCATCACTTACTCTCTGCTGGTTCCTTTTTTTTTCAATAGTCTCTAACTTTGCTTTTTATTCTAGGTGGTTTTTTTTTTTTTTTTAAGATTTTATTTATTCATTCATTTATTCATTCTGGGGTACAGGCCAGAGATGTGGAGGGTGAGAGGATTCACCAGAGACAGAGCCGGGAGCAGAACAACAGGCAGATAGATGAAGTACACTGCTGAGGGGAGCAGCGGGCAAGACAGAAGTCTGCTGCACCATGTGGTCACCTCCTGGGCAGGCAGGGATCGAACTCATGTGGAAGTGGCTTTAGCTTCTTAGTGCAGCGCTTTAACCTGCTGAGCCACCAGGGAGGGCCGCTTTTTATTCTAGTTTAAACTGAGTTCTTTATTCTTCTTGTGATGTATATTGGCAGTGAAATCACCCTTCCTGGAAAAGAATTTCCTGTCTTCAGTGTGAATGGTGCTTCTTTCACGTGTCTGTTGCTAGGTTTCCTCCTCCATCACAGCCAGGCAAGCATACCTGGGCTGAAAGCAAGGTCTGTATGGCCTTTAGACATATTTTGTATGGTTTCTCTCCAAACTGTCTTAGTCTTTAGCATATGCTCCCTGTCTGCAGACTCCTATTTTTGATGCAGAAAGATATGTTAAGTCCAGTGCAGTCTTAAAGATAAGGTCAATGTTTTTATTACATGAACTCTTTTCTGGAGGGCTTATCTAAGCAAGGTGTAAGTGGGTAAGAGGATTACAAAGAATGTATGGAATGCTGGGAGAGAAAGGACAAAAGACTCAGGTGATCCTAAGCAGCATATCACTCTCTTTTAATAGTGAACTCTAAAGGAATTTTAGATAACTTCATCCAACTCACAGTATCCAAGACTTAAGTGTTTGGTCTGGGGTTACAGACTAAATGAGCTCCCACTGCAGTGCTCTTAGAACACAAGAAAAGATCCAGAAATTAGATTGGGCAAGATTCTAGTTTGAATGGAGATGGAAAGTGAGGCAGATGAAAGGCTTGCTCTCCAACTCTTGAGGGTGAGCATGTATCAGTGACTTCCTGAATTTCACCCCCCCCTCCCAAGTAAGTGTGCTCTCTCATGTTTTTTCCCATCACAGGACAAGCTGAATACGGCCCTGGCATTGTGGCGAGCCACCTTAAAGGAATGCCTGCTCTCTCAGACCCTGTGAGCACGTTAGGGGCCACGGCACCACTATTATGGCACAGCAAGGGAAGCTCCAGCTTAGATAACATGTGGACCACATACATCACTGTTGTAATACTGGTGTCTTTTCCCACTAGGTCTAGCCCTGCTGAAAACTGAACTTCCTGCTTTGGCCAATACAATGTGATTGGAAGAGATGTAGTTTTGGATATAACAGGTGAGTACGAAGTTACTGGAAGGTATGGGATTATGTTTGCACAGCTTAACAGGTCATTTTCCTACCATAACTTTTATACTCCTCTGCCCATTTAAGAATGGTCACAAGTTATATCAACAGTGGTATATTTTTAATAGTTTTTATAATATTAGCTGTATAGCCTTTTAGAATATAAAATGATATAACCCCAGGTACATGCTTTAGGACACTTGGCTAAACAACAAGCAATCTGTGTCTTTGACCACCTGGGAAGTGGTAGCAAACTTCACAGTGTAACTTGATAACAGATGTGGAGGTAATGACTACATCATGGCATGTGGTCTACAAAAGGACATTCTGACAGAACTTAAATATAACAGCACATAGTTTCAAGTATTCAAGCACTGCTTTCTGGCCAAGTAAAAACTGGCCCAAACCCACACATGTAGTTAGAGTAGAAAAAAATAGATGTAGCTGATTCTTTTGGATAGGATATTTCTTTTCCAGAATGAAATGGGATCAGTTCAGCTTGAAAGCAGTGTGGGGATGATTGTTCCCATTAAGGAAAAAAACTAAAGAAATAAATTAAATTACTACAGGAAAAGTACTGTGGCACTGGGAGAATGAAACAGAGGGAAAGTCATCTTCCCATCATTGCATAGTCTGAAGCAGCGAATATGAGGGACATAGAAAAAAGCCTCTTCATCTTTACACAGCCCAAGGTGCTCTGATCATTCAGGTTCCCCTGGTGTCTGGTTGTTTTCTGAGGACGCTTAAGTGTCCTACCCCTTGAGGCCTGGTAAACAAACATGCTCTTTAGTTGCCTCAGACACTATGGACTGGGCAAGGCTGGACGGCACCGCCCCAAACTGCTGGCGACATCTCCTCAGGGCAGGTTATTGAGGGCCCCTACAGAGGAAAGCAGGTGCTTGGGTCAAGGTTCCAAGATAGGCCTGCTCTGAAGTCCAGCTCTCTCCATCAGGTTTACGGGAAGAACTGTAACCCAGGTATGCTATACAGCCCTTGAGCTTTCTATAGCTATAAAAGAATATGTGAGTTCAGAAATAGCTGTCTCAAAAAGAGCACCTGGGTAAGAAGTGTGACATTTTGATACTGGTTTAAAGTTTCACTTTGTGTTCTTTCTGGCTTATGGATGATCAGAGGCTGTCACTAACTCAAACCACTGCCTTAGAGCATCGCTGAGTGTCTCAGGAAGTGCATTCACATCACGAAGAATTATGTAGAATGGGAATGGGAACTCCTCCATGTAGGAGCGGATTTCAGGCATCTCACCAGGTCCTTTAAATATTGGTACTTTAATATCCAAGATTGAATCCTGTCAATAGAAGACGACATTTTAAGTCAGTATTTAATTCTAAGTAAAACAATTTTCAGGGTACTAATGGAGGTGTATACCTGTTCCTTTTCAGGAATGGACACTGCAAAGGAGGGAAAAGAGTAGATCTAAAACCAAATACGGCAATTTGCCCTCCATTCTACTTGGAGTAATTCATATTAACTTATACCTGCTGCTACAGCTTTAATGTGACAAAATTCTTTCCCCCACAGAACTATTCCAGGGCATCTTCGCTTAGGGACCGATATATCCTGCTCTGTGAGGCACACTGGGATCCAGGTAACTGAAGGGCTGCTCTACATTTGTAAGTGGACAAAACTGCAATACCTACAAAGACAGACAAAAACTCAACCACAGTTGAGTCACCTAGGAAGTGGTTTTCCAGCTCCTTACCAATAATATCTATGTTCCTGTCCTTTCACTGCAAAATGAGAATGACCCAATAGTTAGTACCTGAAGTCAGGAGCTCAGATGTCATAGTTACTTACCCTAGAAGTGGGATTGTCCAACACAACAAAAATGACGAAGATACTAGCATTCCGGGCAGCCTGCACTGCTGCCAAGACTCTGTCTTTGCCTTCCAGAAAAAGGCCGCGTCCATCAGAGACCACCAGGAGGAGCTGTGCAATTTCTGTAAACATGGTATAGAGCAGGGAAGGAAACTTAATAACTCAACACTTGTGAAGGAAGAAATTAGTCTTTTGTACTGTTATTACCCAATACCCCTTAACTGATGCTTGGACACAGCAAGAAGAGATTAATAATGACTCTATTGACAATTGTAGGTGTTTGCCCACTGGAATTGATTGAAAATGCTTTAAAGAGGGGGGGAAGCAGGCTGTCTTTTTGGTCCTGTTTCCCCAAATCAATCACTTGGATTAGCTGCTTTGTGAGGTGTGTCTTTCCTATTGGTTCAATAAAACATCTTTAATAAGTAAAACTATTTCACGAATGCCTAATACACCTTGTCCTATTTATATTAGGTGACCAAAGGCTTTTTCTCCAACCCTTCCCATAAATGTGATCATGAAAAGAACTTTCAGAAGTTAATTTGCTCCAAGTGTTTTTTCAAATATTCCCTCCCTTTAAATCTTTTATTAAAAAAAAGGGCAGCTTACCTGGACCAGCGTTTTGTGAGAGCTGCCGAGCGGCTACAAACATGTTGGCTACGGACTCTAGAAACTAAACCAGAAATAGGTAATTAGAAAGCAATTTAAACTCTCTCCCATTTGGGCTGAACTTTCTGCCACTTAAGATGATTACTAGATGCTCATCTCATATATAGTAATCACAGTACTCAAAGGGACATAACCCCATACCATACATATACCCACAAGTGATGTACTGAAAAATACTTCCCTCTGGGAGAGACCAAACAGGTGTCTTGACTTTCAAGAAAATAACTAAGCAAGAAAACTCAAGATGTCCAGTTCAACCTGCAGACAGAATTATTCCATGACTTACCTATTTTACATCTTTAAGTTAAATGGGGAAGAGAAATGGGCCTTGATCACTGATATGGGTAATAAGAGATGGCAGACAGAAGAGGCACAGCCTGTTTAATAGTAGCACCGACAGTTTTAGACAGGTTTATCTTAATACCATATGGGGAAAGAAGGAGTTAGAATTTTTTATATCCTATACCAGTTTGAGTAAGACACTTTGATGACCTCAACATACCTGAGCAATCTTAGTTTTCTTCTGTTGGAATTTGCAGAGCCGTAGAATCTGAGCCCCAGAGAAATCACTGAACGGTTCATGAAATGGGTGCAACAGCTTTACAGACTCTCCAAAACTTGGGGGAGGGGGAAACAAACATAACAGCAGTTATTTTTTGTCAGACTGTCAACAAAAGTTGATTTTTCTTAATGGAATTAAAAAGTACCCTTACCTGCACACTGCAATCTGGCCCACTTCCAGAAGGGTCAGAGCATTTCCAATCACAGCTAATGATTCAAATGCCAGCTGTGAAACAAAGTTAGGGTTGAAGGAATCAGAATGGCCTCCAGAGACCAGTGCCACTCAACCTTGATTTCTCATGAAAAGCTTTGTATGATACACCATTCACAACTACAGACTTCAGCTAACATCACAAAAGCTGGAATCCAGAATCTGTTTGCACTGGAAAGTAGACTGTGTCCAAAAAAATGATTGTGAGATTTGATCCATAAATCAAAGAATTTCTTTTACCCTCTTTTGGACTACATAATCTCTTAAAAGATTTTAAGAACCAATTTAATCTGCAAAAACGATGGCAGTGTTTTAGTGATATCTACTCATTACAAAGGAGTAGGTATCAAGTGCTAGGTATTAAACTGAGTACTCTGTATATACTATTTATCTTCTCAACTCTGAGGAAGGTACTGCTACAATCCTCATTTTTCAGAAGATTGATACTTAAATTGCCAAAGTCATGAGGTATTCAATGAGGAGCATATTAAAAACAACACTTCAGTGCAATAAAGAATGCTGATATAAGGAATTTTAGTCAGGTTCCTGAGCCTTGTTAATACTGACAGAAAACTAACTCTAGGTAATGTGAGACTTACAGAAATGTGCACTGAATATATTAGAAAAAAAAAAGATTTGGGTTTTATGTTTAATAGTACACTATTTTATGGAAAATAAACATCACTCTGCAGCTAAGTAGAGCATAGCTAAGAAACAAAATTTAAAAGACAATATAGTTAGGGACCAAAATACACGTCCTGAAATTGCCCTTTTGAACACTTCAAATTTTAGGTCTTCTCAAACATCACGTTTTCAGAACAGAATAATCGGTACTTCAATTTTTTTTTGCCAAATTGTATTAACATTTAGGTGGGCCTTGCAACATGGTATAATGTTAATGTTTCATTAACTTACCACTTCATTTTTCTTCCTTACCTGTTTGGTGTGGTTGTCCACCATGCTAGAAGAGTCATCAATAGCCAAACAAATCTGATACTGGCGTTTACTGGGCTTAGTCCTTCGAAGCCAAATCTTGTCTTTCCGAAATTGACTAGCAATGTATGGAATGACCTTCCGCATGTTCAGTCGTTTTCCAGTTCTATAGTCTCCTCTAGTAAATTTACCCAAATAGAGCAAATTGGTTAACAACTGCCATCCCTTGAGAAGTTTTTTCAAGAATAAAATATCAATTTATAACCAAAAAATACGGAATAACTGGTAACCTGGCACACTGAACGCTCACTGTGAACTGAGGATTAATGGTGAGAATCCTGCCTAGCAGCAGCCCAGAAAAGCCACATATGTATGGCAATAACAAGCAGTTCTTTCCCCAAAAGCTAAACATTTTTTTAACTAAAAAGTATTAGTCTCTTTTCTATAATTGAGCTATGGAGGTATTTTGAAAAAAATCTAGGTAACAAATGCAGCAAGTGAATATCCCAGCATGCAGTGACGTGTGCACTGGGCTCAGCCACCTCCACATCAGATTGTAATGAATCAAAAACTGCACCTCAAACTTCATACCATTGCGTGGGTCCAAGGGAGAAGACTTACTTTAGTTTGGCTGCCTGGGTTGGCTCTAAAATGAGACGAAGCTGTTCACACAACTGTTGTGACAGAGGTGCGGTGATGACCAGGTAACTTTGCCACATCTCAGCTGCAGCCTTCTCCTAAGACAATAGCAACAACATGTAAGTAATCCTTAGAATGTCAGTCTTTACAGTAAGATGAAGGCCAGCACAATAATAAAAAGTGACTTCCATGGACTTTCTCAACAAATATTATAAAGCTTCTCAGCAAAATGCCATCTAACTTGATTAAAAATCCCTCCACTTCTATGAAAACCCATATTTGCAAGAGGAAAAGAAAAAGACAAGGTAGCAAAATACTGAAATTCATGACCAAATCAAAACCTTCACTTCATATATGACAAGCATCACCTGTACCCTTCATGTGAAGGGGACCTATGAATGGGCCCTTAGGGTCATGATTCAAAAGCAGAAGTGATGAGTATCAATCTCTTAACACTCAACAGCATTCACATTTCCTGGATATAAAGATCCAGGATTGTGCCATCAACTATGGCAGAGTATTCAATACACCTATGTGATGGGGATAACAGATTAAAAATATACGTAAAAAGGAAATTTAGGATGTTGACATTAAAATGCAACTGTGGTTAATGTACAGTGCACCTCAAGTCAACCAAAATATATACCACGTGGCCAATTCTGAAGATGACATGGTATAGACTCCTGCCTGTTTTCAACCAGTCTTATACCTTTTACATCCATTATAGGGAACAATTAAGCTGTATGTCTAGCAACATAGGCAGAAATAAATGGAAAAGGCTTTGGTTTCAGGAATATAATGGCCTTCCCCACACACTAAGTCCCCTTCACAAGGGTAACTAGAACTAAAAACCTCTTAAGTTTGCTGTATCTTAAATAAAAGTCAACATATTTTATGGAAAGGCCATTGACTTACTTCTTCTGAGCTTCCAGATTTGTGTGACTGCCATGTCTCCAGCTGTCTCTCCAGCTCCTGTCTTAACTCATTGACATCTTTTAAAAATGGCTATAAAGGAAAAAGCCAGTTAAGAAGGGGCCCTGGTTAGAATCACCAGGTCATTAGCACTGGCTGCCTTCTTCCTTCCCTTCAATACAAACTCCAAGTACATAGCACTGGGGCATAAAAATTAAGCAAATTTAATGGCATTATATAATGTCAAATAACTGTTTACTCTTACTTTCCATTTTGTGGAAATAGTATAGGTTAAGGAAACTTCACTATCTATCTTAGCTAGACAAAAGCAACATAGTCATGGAAATCTCAGTAATGAAAACATTCTTGGGTTAATTTAAACTGCCTCTAAGTCAAACGGAAGGGACAATAACTCTTCCTAAATGAAGGCATTAAGCCAAAGATTTTTGTTACCTAACCAATACAAACTTAATTATTTTCAGACTTCTCATACAAGGATAGTGGGGCATGAGAAGAGTAGCTAGAAAACCAGAGAGACCCACCATCATGACAGGTCAGGTCAGGTCAGGTCAGAGTCTATCTGTAGTAACTCTGGGATTTATTGTTGTACAGTATTACCAGCTTAGAGAATAACTATCACAGCAACAGTTTTCCTAAAAATTTTGATAAGGATACAATACCCCTGACTATTCAGATATTCCATATCATTCTAAAGACAAAGATATTTTTGCACTTTAGCAATGTTCTCACTGAAATATAGGAATCCTTATTGTTCTGCAAAGTTCTTTAAAGAGTAGGGCCATACATTCTTTTTCATATGTGATGTAAGTATATTTCAGTTGTGCTATTTTATTTTTCATGTGTACATAATTTTGTAAAACCATTTTACAATTCAATAAGCTTATATAAATTTAATAAAACAAATTATGAAAATGTTAGAACCTGGAAAAGTGTGTCCATGAGGAGCTGATGAGCTGTATGAATGGTTGATTCTTGGCTTCTCTCTGGCTTCTCACTATCTGTCTCCTTGTGTGATTTGTCTGCATGAAGGTCTTGATCTTCCTCTGTTTTAACAGTGTGGGTCTCCATCTCATCAAGGCCTATGATTTTCATACAAGAACAGTGTTTCACTTTCTATAATATTTATGTAAAGGTTGCTTACCAATGCATATTAATCCTAACACTCACTCAAACGTCACTCATTCACTGCCCATCACACAGCCTACATATGGTTCCATAGGTTCTTTCTCCTTGGGATAGTCATTACCAATTCTTAATCTCCAAGCTCCCCGTCTCCTCCCTACCATTATGTTGAGGCAGCTGTTCAGGATATGGGTGGATGTGCATGTGTGCCCCTGTATTAGGGGAGATGAAAATAGGTTGATTAGTTTACAGGACTTTATGAATCGTTCACCTGTGTGCATGTAGAATTTTGTTAAAGACTAAATATAGTTCTATTTTGTAGATAAACAAAACAAAGAAAAGATGGATAATGTGTCTCAATCTATATAGCTTGGGTTTGTGAGTCTAGTCAAAGAGTTCTGTCTCCCCCACCATTATGTCATGCTCTGCAGTCAACAGTTGATACCCTTGAGGAAACAGGAAAGGATCGGAAGAAAAAGCCTTTGCATTTGCATTTATTTTATTGGCAATAAAGTTATTTTCTAATATGTTGAAAGTTTGATTATTAAATATATTTTTAATAAATTGCCTAAAAGTAGCACTTGTTCAACTATAAAATGGAACCAGCTGTAAAGAAGGTTAAAAAAAAAAGTATTTTCTCTATTTTTTCAAATATTTACATATATTTAATGTATTTAGTGTACTTTATGTAACTGAAAACATTTTTCTAATAATCAAGAATATGTCATCTTGTCATAACTAGAGTTATGTGTACTGTTCAGTTTTCTTTTATATATTTTAAACAAACTAGTAATATTTTGTCAAGAAGTCTCCCTGGAGGACAATGTCTTGTAATATCACTCAACCTTGCTAGTCCCAAATGAAACACTGTGAAATTATAGGTAAGTATAAGTCAAGAGTTGGGAGGTCAGAAGAACAGATTAGCCAAAGTACAAGAGATGTGATTTCTCTTAAGTCAGAGAGCTTAGGAGGGCTCACCAGAGCTTGTGGTGGTTCCCGACTTAACCTCTTCAGGCTTCAGCTGCTCCGTGTCTACGGTCCTTAACTCCTCCTGCTCCTCTGTATCCATAAAAATATCCTCTCTCTCCTCTTCTTCCTGACCCATGAGCAAGTCTTTTGAAGGCTGTTGTTGCTCCTTACTAGCCACATCTGCCAACAAAACATATAAACATATAAGTCAAGGATTTTGCAGAACTACAAATAATCATGAGTAGGTATGGTTTCAGTCATTTCCAGTTTCCAAGCTCTAATGACAGTTCTGACTGGATACAAGGACTTAGACACATTGACTGGCTTATCTGTGTTTGTGATGTCCTGCCTATTCTCTAACCCCCATTGACTGGCTTATCTGTGTTTGTGATGTCCTGCCTATTCTCTAACCCCCACAGGACGGTAAGTATAAGGTATAGCTAGCATACATGGCCCTATAGAAACAGGATGGCCAACTGCAATTTCAATGTTACAAAGAGATTGAGCCTGAATAAACAGTTGGGTACATGACTCAAAACTGCTAATGGACTTGCCCTGAATTACTGATGTGTGGGTGGATAAACGCAGTGATTAAGAAGATACAAAGTGGGGCATAGGAAAAAACAGTGGAATTACAGTGGCATGATCTTGGACAGGTTTCTAAATTTCTTTGGCCTTCATGTGCTAATCTATAAAATGGAGTTATCCAAGCTCACAGAATTACTGGAGGAATTGTATAAGGCAATTTTTGGCACAAAGTAAAAGCTCAACACATGGTGGCTATTACTACTTTAATTTTCTAAAACAAAACAAAAGAAAACAAACAAAAAAAAACCCGAGGGCAAGAAGAGAAAAAGTAATTCATAGGGTCCTCTCCAGTGGAAGAAGGGGTCAAAATACAGCAGCACTATGAAGCTATCTGCAGCCACTGCAGTACAAGTTTGATTCCTGTTCGGGGGTGTGCGTGTGTGCGTGTGTGTGACCCACATGGCTTAGCAGACCTCTCCTGTCTCACTCGCTGCTCCCCTAGCAGTGTACTTCATATATCTGCCTGGTCTGCTCCGCACTCTGTCTCTGGTGAATCCTCACTCCCTTCTCTTACCTCTCGCACCTCTGTGCCTACACCCCAGTTCTTGTATGCATAAATAAATCTTTATTAAAAAAATACTTCACAGCCAAGCAATTGTCTTTGTACAATACAAGTGTATTATCAACGCTAGTTTACATATTAGCAGCACAATAGTGAACAGTTGCCAGGAAAACTAGAAGGGAAACTAATCTATAACTGACAGTTCTCTAATACTGAGATTTTTTTTCCCCTTCCTTTTTCACTTATGGGGAAAACACTTAACGTCAAGATCAAAGCTCCTTCCTCTACAGGGATCAGCTTTAAGATATCTATGAAGAAATGTCCAGTATTAAGAAATCCTGACATCAGCACTGGACTTGGATGTGGCCAAATGTTATCAGGTGTATTTAAAAGGCCTACATTAACCCCAGAAACCTTGAATGTTTAGTTAGCTATGGGCACATTTACACAAAAAAAAACCCACAAACTTTTGGGCCACCCTGGTGGTGCAGGAATTAAAGTCTCATAATTATCAAGCTACTTCCAGCCACTGTGGCATGAATTCAATCCCTGGCCAGGTAGCTGACCCATATGGTGCAGTAGACCTCTCCTGTCTCGTCCACTGCTCCCCTCAGCAGTGTATTTTAACAGATCCACCTGTTCTGCTCCCCTACTCTGTTCTGATTCCCTACTCTGGGGAATCCTCTCAAATTGCCCCCCCACACCTTTGGCCTACACTCCAATTCTTGTATGCACAAATAAAAAAATAAATCTTTAAAAGAAAAACTTTCTGCATTGTTCTTTATTAAGAGAGAAAACAGTTAAAAGTCACCCTCCTCTCTCCTAATATGAAGTTGTATTAACACTTGCAGCTGTGCAGTCATGTAGGATAAGCTCTCACAGAGAACTAGTACACAGAGAAGCCTCCTCTGTACCATACCATAGGTCTGTGCATCGTAAGGGTCGCTGCCTTGCTTAATATGTTCAAATGCATCTGCATCCTCCACATGGGCCTGGGGCTGGGCTGGCCCCTGTTCAGTGTGACTGTCGGTATCCACAGTCCTCAGCCGCTTATGTATCCGCTCATTGTGATCACCCATGGAGCGTTCATTGTCAGCTTGCCCGGGTTTCCTCTTAAAACTCTGGAAAATATGAGGAAATTCATTAAAGTTTTATCTATAATGACAAAAGCCTCAGAGCCATAACATCCATGCACAAGGTGCTGGTCAAGCAAACTAGGCACAGCCACACAAGAATGAAAGTCAATACAACTGTTAAATGGGGTGAGCAGATCTTTAGATACTTACATGGAACAAAATGATACAACACCTATATCTGAAGTCAAAGCAAGGACTAACATATATGTGCATGCACATATTTCCATATATATACTTGCAGAAAGTATCTCTGAAATTAAGACAAAACTGGTAGCACCAATTTGCTCTGGAGAGCACCCCTTAGGTGGCTTGAACATAGGAACAGAAATTTTGGGGTTTTTTTTTAATGTACATACTAAATTTGTATCGTGTGCATTAATTATACTCCATTACAAAAGAGTTAGCTCTTAAAATACAAAAGAATACATACAGACAGTAAAAAGAATAAGAATTCTTGGGGATGAGCAGCAGCAGCAGCTGGGCTCCATAACAAGCATGTGTGTGCAGGTCTCCCTACACCCCAACACATACACCGGAAAGAAGCTCCAGGGACATGTGTCCTTGGATACTCCCATGGTCCTGCTCTGCTTACTAAGGTTGCCATCATGTTTGGTGGGGTGGCAAAAGTTCAGAATGTGATTTAAAAACAAAAAACACTACTTTCAGAGTATTGTTTTTACATGCAAGCTTCACTTAAGTTTTGCTAAAGAGTGACAGAGACCTGGGTGTTTTTCCTGGTGTGTTTCTCAGAGGTCAACCGAGCGATGAAATTGGATTCATGACCTTCTGTCTGGTTTGCATCTGCCATCCCACTCCCATGTTCCTATGAAATACAAATCATAAACAAGTACCTGGTTACTACAATGTACTGTGCATGACTTTCCAGCTCAAAGTCCATGATCATAGCTGCCTGCCTACCTTCCTGACTGACTCAAGGCCTAGCCCAAGGGCAGAAACAGGACCATCTGGACCCCGCACTTACCCTCCAGGGGTACTATGACTTACAAATTTGAACATAATTTACTCTCACGGTAGGACAGACCTCAATTAGAAATAATAATTCATCATCAACTAGGTGTGTACCACTGAGCTTGTCATTTAATTTTACCAAAGCCGCCTTTATTTAACGCAGATATAAAGTGGTGAAATATGAACAATAATGTCAATGATCTTGAAGAATCATTGGGAGGACTTGCTGAAGTAATGAAAATACTTAGCGCCTAGTGGGTGCTCAATAAATGGGCTGGGGGAAGCACAAGAAGTACAAACAATTATCACTGGTGAGAAACCAATTTAGAGATGGTAAAGGAGCTGTCTAGTCACTACTATAAGCATTAAGTCCTCTTTCAGTGCTTTCTGTGACATGCCAGCAGCCCAAACTGTAGCCATATACACAGCACCCCCAAGTCAAGGTATAAACTGCTTTGCTTTTTGTGAAGGAAAAAGCTTAAAAGCCTAGGAACAGCAAGGAAAATGGAAGCACTGTTAGAAGCGTATTACTAATTGGGGGAGGAAATTCTATGGGGTTTATACCTGAGGGGTGGAGGAAGTAAACACTGTTTTAAAACAAACAATGATGTAAATATATAATAAATTAAAAAAAAAAAGCGTATAAGCGGATTACTGCATAAAGTCTAAATTGAACCCTTCTACCTTGGGGGTTTTCCAAAAAATAGCATGAACCTGATTCTCTTAGGGAGAGGTGCCAGTCTCATTAAGCACATCACTAAATCCAACTTGAAACAAATATTCTTGGACAGGGGACATGTTTCCATGTTCTGGGAAGCATATAAAAATAGGCATATGATCACTTTGTTAAAGGGGAGATGTTCCTTTAGATGTCAACAACAACAAAATCACACATTAAACAGAACATGGTTTCAGAAACCCTCCTAAGAGCAGTTGGCTTGACAACAGGCTCATCACCTCCTTCCCCTGCTCCTTCTCGGGTGCAGCCCCAGCCAGCTCGACAGCCTGCTCACTCTGCATGCTCTCTACCCCAGTCTGCCCACAGGACTCGTGCTCTTTTCTCTCTGTGGCCTCTGGCACATGGTCCTCTGTCTCAGAGCTCTCCCCTTCTTCATTCTGTGTCTGTGGGGGAAATAAACATATCATTAAATGATGCTGGGGAAGAACATGGTGGGGTATGGGGGTGCCACCTGCTAATGGAGACGTAGCCTAAAGAGATTCTAATGGGAATAAGTAACATCTCATTATTTTTAGTATTAGACAATCTGGACACAGTACCTGGGGCTGAAGACCTTGGTCAACGGGGATGCCACTCTCTGTATTCTCCTCTCTGGCTTCCTGGTCCTTTTCCTCCTGGGACTGCTGCTCCTCCTGGGACTGCTGTTCATCCTCTGAGCTTTCTTCAGCACAGTCAGCAATATCTTTGTCTTGGTCATCATCTCCTGTGTCCATCTCTTCCTCCCCACCCATCTTGTCATCTTCACTGGGGCCCTCCTTAGACTCATGTTGATCCTGACCTTCATTCTGGCCTGCCTCAGTCTTCTCATTTGTTTCTTCCATTTCATGACCTGTTTCCTCAAGGTCCATGGTCTTTTCTTTAATTTCCAGTGGATTCTCTTCTGGACAGATATAACAAAAAAGAGGTACATAACTTATGTGTTACTTAAGATAGGACAGAGTTACATTATGTTTTATTATTATTTTTCTCAAAACAGGAGCCAGCAAATTATGGCCCATGGGCCAATTCAGGCCATCCACATGTATCTGTATACATACTTTTATTGGAATATGAAATTCATTTACTTCCCTGTGTGTTTACCACGTGTATTCTGTAATGTTGATGGCTGATTTTATACTGCAGCAGCAAAACTGAATTTCTGACCTGTCACAGCTTTCAGCCTGCAAAGCTTGAAACAGCTGATCCTTTCCAGGGAAACTTTGCCTATCTCTGTTCTAAATCATAATCTTACATTACCCACAGTTGTTTGGATAATCTATTTCATTAAATGAATATACATTATTCATTATAAAATCCTGAAAGCCATTACAACAATAGAAATATTTTGGACCAGAGGTAAAATGAAAGTCCAGTTTAAATTATCATTGGGAAAAATGTGTGAAATTCATTCTTTATCACACCTACAAAATACAGTATACATTCAAATAGAAATCTGGAAAACCTTTTCTTGAAAGTTTGGTTATACATTAAACACTTCCGAAATTATACTTTTAGAGATTATTTAAAATAATTGCTCTTTAAAGTGAGATATTTATTTAGCGCAAATAGCATATTTCAGTCTCGATGGACTTTGATTTTCATAATTTTATGCTTGTTTGGTTATTCGATTTAAGATTGAAGTCAGATCTGAAAACTGTAAGGTTTTGTATTACCTTATACCATGATTTAAAAGTAGACTAGAGATTCACTGAATGAAGAATATTCTGAGCATAAGGAAAGCCTACATCAAGTCCTTAGCCAAGTGGTCCTAAAAAATAGTAATTTCAAATTTATTTAAAATTTTTATTTATTACTCATTGAATTTATTTTATTTTTTTTATTACATTCTTCATTTGTTAAAATTTGTTATTTTGCAGCAAACTTATCTCTTGCTTTAAGGCCCTGGGTACAACTGTATGGAGCTGTCACCCTTTCTAGTTCTTCAATCTTACCATAACCTGTGTTGCTTATTTCTATTACTTTTCTACATTTGACTTATAATAATATATAGTATTATTTCTATTAAACTTTCCATAAATTGTGCTTATTTTTTTATGACAAGTTATCTTGTTTCAATATGACAGTTTTCTTAGAATACACTTTCTAGATATATAACTGTGTCATCATGAAGTAAAGTGAGAGCAACTCCTATCTTTTTGATGAGGGCTCCAAGTTAATGCACACCCCCTTACACAATGCTTTCACCTATTTCCAGATAGTGTACCCTAGTCCCCTTGCTTGGGTTGCGCAGTGGATGACAGAAGCACCAGATTACTGCCACACATCATCTGATTTCTCTTGAGATTGTTCAATTTCAGCCCCATTATAGTGACTTCATAAGTCTACACACACTATCAGCATAATAATCAATAAATGGAATAATTATTTACTTAAGAAAGTTGAAAATGGACTTTGTGGGTGGCTGAACTAGATCCCAATTACCCAGTGCTTACTTCACCCCACTAAATGGGGGGACACAGTAATGGCTGTGGGGAAGACAGAGCTGTGTGTCATGAAGCACACCCTGGTCACAAAGGAGCACTTAAACAGAAGGTAAAGTGACAACAGTGACAGAGAGGTGTTGGTTTATATTGCAAGCTTTGGGTCTACTCAGATAATAACACTGCAAAGAAAAAGCAATTTTCTGAAGCTGATACTAAGCTGACCACATGATTCAGGACCTGGCCATGACACTGTCCTGAAAATAAATTGGCTAGTGGTCATTTCTAAGAGTTCTAATTGGTCTCTAGATTTACAAAGACACACCTTCTTCTTCATGGTCTGTGTCCTCACTACCATTCTTGTCTTCACTGTCTAGGTTCAAGTCATCTGGAAGGTCCAAAGCTTCAGGTTCTGGCAGTGTTTCCTGATTTCCATGATAAGGATCCACCTCATTCTCATCATACTCTCTCTTTGGATAATGAAGCAAGCAGGAAACAATGTTAAATAAAAAAACATTTTAAAATGTTAAATAAAAAAACATTTTAAAAAAGCATCACAAGTAATTAGCTCTAAATAACTACCCTGAGGAAATACTATGTCTCTTTGCTTAAAATTACGAGCATCCTTTAGAATTTTCATCTTGGAATTTCTCAAGCTTTAATTCCACTAATAAGAAGTATGGTGTTACTTATTCTCAAAGTAGAAGCTAAAGTGTATAAGAAAAAATGTATAGGAAAGAACCATGGGTTTTAACCTCCCATCTACGGAGTGAAGACTACTTCATCAGTAATCAAAAGATTATTTCATGTACTGCTAAGAGGTCCAGCCATACATTCTTTTATGAGGCAATGAGAAAACTAACGATGAGTAGGGGAGAAAACTGTTGGTTGCCTTCCGAGCTGGGCCATGCAGCTCTGAAGTCAAGAGGGAATGGATCTATTTCAAAACCTCATTACCTCATCTATTTGTTCATTAATTTTGTCTTGGCCTTGCCCATCATCATCATCAGCTTCTTCCTTTTCTTCCTCTTTATTTTGCTGGTTTTTATCTCTGTTTGACTTTCCAGCATCCAAGTTGTCATCTTTAGCAGCAAGTCCACAATCTTCCTAAATGTCAGCAACAGAGAAAATATGCAAAATCATCACTCTCAGTCTAAGAAACTTGCTTTTCACATGGTTGGGTCTGCCTACTGGAGCTTAGACGTGTGCTTTTCAAAAAGGCCTGCTGGGCTGAAAGCCATGGAAATACCCAAATGACATGGTGTGGCCTATAACCTGCAAAGAAAAGTGCAGGACTGCCCACATAGCAGTAGCAACAGCAAGTAAGTGAACAGTGAGGTGGGTCGTGATGTCCTGCTACAGTCTCACGCACAGCCCTAGGGTTTTCATAAACTGGAAGCTGCAGAAGTTCAGTGGTCCATAGCAAAATCACAGCATCTCTGTCTTCTTAATTTCCTTCCTCCACATTACATGAGATGGCTCTGGTGAGGTCATCTTTTAGCCCTGAATACAATCAATTGTAACAAAAAGAAGATGGAAAAAGAACAAGAAAAGGAAGAGCATAACTGACAGGGAGTGGTAGTTGGTAGGAAGTGGCTCCTCTCACCACTTAGGGACATGAATTCTTTTTTTTTTTTTTTAAAGATTTACTTGTGTATACAAGAATTGGGGTGTAGGCCCAGGGGTGAAATGAACGGGATAGACAGAGTGGGAAACCGAACAGAGTGAGAAGCTAAAATACACTGCTAAGGGGAGAAGCAGGTGAGACAGGAAAGGTCAGCTCCCTGGCCAGGGATTGAACCGCAGTGTCTGGCAATAGCTTGATAATGCTGAGATTTTAACCATTGCCCCACCAGGGAGGCCCCCAGGACATGGATTCTTTTAACTACCTCATCCACTCCTGGTCCTGTTTCTTCAATTTTATTGTCATCTTCCTCCTCATCTTCATCATTATCATCACCCCAAAGTCTCTCATCTAGTTTTTCTGCTTCCTCACCATTCAGATCACCCATCTGTTTATCCAGGTCGCAGCCATCACTCTCTGATTTCTCATCATCCTCTTCTGAAAAGGAACTGAAACTTAGTTAGACATATCCAAACTGACCGGGTCTTGGTATAGAGAGGAATGGACATTACTAATGGCTAAGGCCCCCCATGGAAGGTACTATTTCCATCCTGACTGTTTCCATGGGTTATTCTAAGGGGGGTTTTGCCTTCAGATGTGCTCAAGTAGTCCTGCTGTGTTGTGCAAGCCATTTGGGATAAATTCTGTACTGTGCTATGTAAACAGACAGAGGGTAATGGGACAACTGTCAAATATCAGTTCTTTTGTTGGGGGAATAGTCATGATCAGACTCACTAACCTCACCAGATCTTGGTTTCTTATCTGGTTCAACCGCACTTCCAACATACTATATTTCTATGACTTCATCCAACATTAAAATCATAATCATGTGTCTAGCGCAATTTATCAGAATCACCTTGTCTATGTTCAGGGGTACACTTTGCCAAAGATTGTATCTGTATGCTGCTTAAACAAATACACATACTGTGCATGTTTAACTTTGAGGTCAGCTTTCATTTCTGTAAGATCTTCACTTAAAATAAGACATTATATTTCAAATTAAGGCTTGAACAGAAATTTAGGGTACAAACATGAAACATGATTATGATATGCTATAAGAAAGCAAATTCCTGAATAATGTTTAATGATAAGGGTAATTGTCACGTATAAAATGTGAAAAGCAAACTTACAGAACTGTTTGCTCTCCACATTTATATCTATCTCTATACAAATAATAAATGGTTTGGGTGGTAGACCTAAAGTTACCTATTTCATTCTTAGATTTTTGTCTCCATTCATCTATAGCACATATCTGATAATTTTATTATCTTGAGGGGAAAGTTATTTTTTAGTATGATCTATCCTGAAAACTTTACTTTTGAGATGGGAGATAATATCTGCTAGGGATCTTTTCCTTGCTCTTTCAACTAGCTGGGTCACTGTTTACTGTATCAGACACCAAACCTCAGCCAATGGCTTTTCTCAGACAGTGCCTACAGATTCTGCCAGTGGGTATGGCAATGGCATGTACATGTGCTTTTGCTTTCATTGGCAGTTATGTGGTATAATGAACTTGTATTTTTCCTATTTTTCAAAAACAAGAATGATTCAAACCTTTTTCTTCAAGTTCCCCATCATGCATTTTCCCTTCAAAGTCTTCTGACATTTCAATGGCATTATCTTCGCCCTTAATATCTGATTTTGAGTCAGGATCCTCTTTATCCCTTTCTTGACCCTTCTGAAATGTATCTTCTGCCTATATCACAAAGCATTATAGAAAACATAAGTCAACAATGTAACTTTGCTCATGTTTATTCAGTTCTAAATAAAATATAAATATATAAATTCCAAGGTGCATGGTGCAAAATTATCTCTGGGAAGAGAAAAAAAAGGAGAACCAGACAACAATTACACAATTTCCGGTTTAACATCTCTGCAGTTAATTTCTAGTATTGCTGTATTTATGAGTTACACATATAGAATTCTATTGGTTTTCAGGTGCATAGTTTAACAAATGCAAGACCTTTTCAAATGAATATGTAATCTCTGCCTATAGGAAAAATTACAACATATATTGTCAATAACTATGCCATTTTGATCTCTCAGTGAGAATGAGTTTGTTCACTTTTTTTAAACTATGTAGTTCTATATTATCTATATGATATTTAAGGCAAAATATTCATGATTGCTTTCCACCGTGGTTGAAGTTTTTTAAAATACAAAAGTAGTAAAAGCTCACTAAAAGAATTCTAATAAGCAAAACAGTAAAACAGTGAATTTTACCTGGCATTACCATCTTCCAAAACTCCCGAGGAAACTGCCATTGGTGACAATCATTTTACCCATGCATATATCAAATGCACTTAGTAATATGATGATGTGCATTAATACTTACCTCTCCAACACCTTTTTTTTTTTTTTTAAAGATTCATTTTACTTGTTTATGCATATAAGAACTGGAGTGTGGGCCAGAGGCACAGAGGTTAAGAGGACTCAACAGAGGCAGAGTAGAGAACAGGACAGGTGAGAAAGGAGAAGTCTGCTGTACCATATGGACTAGCTCCCTGGCCAGGAAAGCGACTGACAATAGCTTGATAACACTGAGACTTTAACCCCTGCCCTACTAGGTGCATCTTTTTAAATTGAAAAAGAGCACACTGTACAAACTGCTTTGTAATCTGTTTTTCTTTTTTAAAAAGATTTATTGATTTATGCATACAGAATTGGGGTACAAGCCAGAATTGCAGGGGCGGTGAGAGGCTTCACCAGAGACAGAGTAGGGAAAGGAACAGGTAGAGAGATGGAAATACACTGCTGAGGGGAGCAGTGGGTGCATCAGGAGAAGTCTGCCGCGCCATGTGGGTCACCTCCGGGGTGGGGGATCCAACATGCATTGAAGTGGCTGTGGCTAGCTTGCAGTGCTGCATCCTAACCTGTTGCACCACCAGGGAGGGCCTGTCTTTTCCTTAACTTAAGAAATGTCTCCCAGACACCTACCTACACAGAGTCACATAAATCTATTTCATTGTCTTACTAATTTGTAGTATTGCTCTGCATGGATAATATCATAATGTAATTCCCTCCTGATGAATATTTGGGTTCTTTTACAATATTTACATTATAAAAATGGCCTAGTGAACATTCTTGTACACACACCCTCATACACATAACCTCTGATTTCTATGAAGCACTGTCATAAAAAAAAAAAAAGTCATTGGTGATGGTTGCCCCCTGGATAGCCGGTTAAGTCTCAGCACTGTCACCATTATAGCCTGAGTTTGATTCCTGGTCAGGGAGCTAGCACACATATAGTGCAACAGCTATCTCCTGTGTCTCCTGCTGCTTCTCTCAGCAGTGTATTTCAGTAAATATGCCTGTTCTGCTCTCCACTCTCACTGGAAAATCCTTTCACCCCCACATGTCTGGCCTATACCCCAAGTCTTCTATGCAAAATTAAATTGGGGAAAAAAAAAAGTCTTTCTTAAAACAAAAAAATCAAAGAATTCCTACGTCAAAGAATATTCACCCTTTAAAATTTACTAGATACTCCCACCCACATATAGAAACATGGAGTCACCCTGAGGAGAGTCTGGAACGGGAGGGTCAGTCAGAGGGAAAGAGGGAGCATGAGGGAGAAAAGGAGTGAATGGGAGGGTGCAAGGTAATCCCTGTTCCTGGTGGAGTCTTACCTACCACTTCCCAAAGGACACCATTCACCATTCATGTTTTTCATATTGTATTTTTCTATTAATTCAACATTGAAAAACTTTTTTCCCCATTAGAAAAGTACTGTGTTAAGTTGAATTTGGAAGCTACAGAAAAGCCAAAATAAAAGATAATGGAAGGAGCTCTACCACATAAATACAGCAACTACTCTTGGTTTTTCATTTCTTTCTAGTTTTCCTTCAAAGGAAGAGAAGAAGTTTGAATTGGTTTGCACCTGTTTTTAATAGCTGTAACCATACCTTAAAAATATATGGGCAGATTTAGACTCAAGCATGTGATTAAAAAGAAATTCTATTACCTCTTACTTCTCAAGTCACACTTGATTAATCTAAATTACTTTAATTACAAACACTCCCAAATGAGATAGTCACTGACAAAAGTAACACAATATGATCATAGTCTAATATATCTGAGTACTTTAAAAGCATTTTAAATCCAAACAAACAAAAAGAGCATTTAAAGTTTTCAACATGTTTTAAAGGTATGCTATAATAAAACCTACCAATTGCAAGTATGGACATTATTGTTAAATGCAATTAATCACTTAAGAATGCATTCATTGTCCTTGATCTGTTATCAAAAATACTTCTTCCTTAGGGAAATTATCAGCAAAAATCTCATTTAAAATAAAAAAATTTAAATCATTTCCCTCTCAATTAAAGTCATAACCAATGAATGTACTGCAAAGTTTCCTTCTGTGGTTTTATTCTTAGGCACATGTAATTTAAATATTGAAAAGAGAGCAAATGCCAGTGGACATATATTTCACATACGTGAAAACCTACCTGTTCCTCATTCTCTATTCGGTCACTCACATCTTTCATGCCCTCACCATCTCCAAGTCCTCCGCCCTCATAATCATGGAATTCAGTTGCTCCTTCTGCTGAATCTTCCATAAATTCTTTGGGCAGGCAAAATCCCTTGAAAATGAAAAAGTGAACAATTAGGCACATACAATTGGAAAACAAAAATGATTTCCAGTCCTGCCACAGGAAAAAGAATATAAACAATGCTCAATTCTTTTTAAATTCAGTATTTTAAATCTGACAGAAATAAGGTAGACTTTTGACATTCTTTTTTGCTTTGGTAATATGCTGATTGACAAAGCACACTGCTGAGGGGAGCAGCAGGCAGCTCAAGAGAGGTCTGCCACACCATGTGGTCACCTCTAGGGCAGAGTGGGGATGAACTCATGCTGAAGTAGCTTTATCTTCTTAGTGCTGTGCTTTAACCTGCTGCGCCACCAGGGAGGGCCCCGAAGTCTGTCACTCTTAAGAATGCATGCCACATGTGGCCTCAGGTGCTTGCTCCCAAGGAACCTGGTACTTAGAATGACCAGGAACTAGAACAAGGTTAGATACAATGAAATAGTAACAAAAACATACTCTGTGTTGGAGAAAAGCTTGAAAAGAACCAACCACTAACTAGTGTGTGTGAACTAGTGTGTGTGAACGGGAAAAGTGTTAGAAAGAAATAGTGGGTCTTAATCAGAAATTTTATCAGAGAAAAAATAAGCTATTGATATACTTGTCAGCCTAAGGATGCAAATGTAGCACAAACAGTCAACTAACAAGGAAGTAAAACCCCAGACTATAAGTACTGATAGTGACTTAGTAACTCAAAAATGGTATTCTATGTACTAAATGTTTTAATTAGAGCCTAGATCTATGCATTGTGTCTAACCTATATCTAAACTATTTTCAAGTCTCCTCAGCACTTACTTCTCAAAAAAAAAAAAAAAAAAAACTGAAACAATTTGGATACTAAAGAAATTAAAAGCAAACTCATTTTCAGGAATGTATTCTTGGAAAGTTGATTGTCAAATACATTTTGGCTACATTCTGTTAAAAGAAATACATATTTAGATATAGACAGAATAACCATATGGGGGTAGATTGAGATGTTCTTCAGGGAACATAGCTACAGCTGAGAAGGCTGCTCTCTGCTCCCAACACTTTGCTTATATCAGAACCACCTCTGCCTTCATGCCTCCATCACAAAACATAACACAGGTGGGGGTGACTAGGCCAGAATCATTCTAAAACCTGTCAGAAAGAACAATAGTGCCTATGGACAAACAGCTAGCCCCAATCTCAGGATACCCTCACTATACACTGTCCTGCCACTATCTTTCGCATGCAGTGTTTTCTCCAAGAAGTGACAGGGGTCAGAGTAATCAGAGTGAACCAATCTGAAATTTGCTCATGTGTTAGTCAACAAGTACTCATATTTATACTCCAGATACAAGTAATTTTTGACCTTTTCCAATATTTCAGAGACTCAGAACTTAGAACTTTTGTTGCTTACAACAAGCTTAGGGCCTACCTTCAGTTTGCAAATGCTATCTTCCTTAAATGAATATCATCTACATTGTGGTTAGATTTATAAAATATCTTAAGACTAGGGAAGTAAAAAGACAAAACAAGTAAGTATACATTCAACCCAAAATGGACCCACATAAATACTAAGGCACCTATAGGTAGATTTCATTTTCCAAGCGAGGAAACTGAGAGGTTATGTGACTGGAGTAAAAGAGCTGGATATCCTGAGACAGGATATGCCACACTGTGTTGGATCTGAGAGATCTGTCTCCTGTTCCTGAATTTCATGGGTTAGATTTAGTGTCTACAGTATCAGTGCTTTTCACAGTATGAGGTACTTGGTTCTACCTGACTTTACTGCTAAAGACTAAAATAAAGCTTAGTTACCTTCCTTAAGGACTTTATCTGTCCTACCAGTTCAACTCAGAGTTATCAGAAGATTTCAAATTGGGGACATAGAAAAGGGTATGAACAGAAAATAGCAAACTCAGTTTCTATAGGAGGACCTGTAGTTTTGAAGACTTTAGTAGAAACAGGCTTGAAAAAAGGGTGCCAAAACAAGGTCTTAAAAAATTCACGGGGAAAGCAAATCACCTGTTATGTGAGAAGGACCAAAATACAAGCCAGTCAACGAGAACACTAATGGGTATTTGGTGCCTGCTGCTCTGCCTGATTAGCCCTTACCTTCTGGGCGAGCTCTGTAAAGATGTGGGCAAGCACAGAGAGCAGCTTTGCAGTACTGCGGTGAGTTGCCAATGATACAGTCAGGAAGAAGAGGATGAGGTCTGAGTACCTGGAAAGCATGGGTACCAGGCGTGTCAACAAGTCGCAGGACTGGTTGAAGAACTAGGGGCAAAACAAAAAAGAAAGTCTTGCTCACACAACTCAATGGGAGGTTTCAGCTGAGGTGATAAAACTGTACTGAACTAGACAGCAATAATAGTTGTACAGAACTGTAAATGTACTACATGTGCTTAGTTTTAAGTTTTATATGTATTTTAACACATATACATGCACAGACCAGACCCCTACTAAACATTCTTCCTTCTTTACACAAACCCTCACAAAAATACATTTTAAATTCTCAGTTTGATGATTTTTTTCCCTCAATAAAATGTCAATAAGCATACTAATGAGAATTAAAGTTGACAATGAAGGCAATACAGAGTAATACACATGTAATGTCCCACAAAGTGAGTTCTTTCACTAGACTTTCTGTGGAGATAGTGACTTCTCTGCCGGCTTATGTGAAGGGGATGGGGTGGATAGAGTATGGCCATTAAGCCTTAGTTAATGCAGCAACATCCACTACTAACATCAAATACCCAGGAGAACATAATTAGGGTATGAAAGAGTCCCAAGATAATGGATATCCAGGACTATGAGCATTTTTGCACCTATGCATCTGTTAAGCTCTACATTTCCACAGGTTGTTATTGAGGTTTACATGTATGAACAGAAAAGTCTTAGTGATTTTGCCACAGAAGCCTGCTTTGTAGTCACCAACTTGAAGGGAAGTGAAACCTGCTTTGCCTTTGTTGGCCCAATATGGAAGTTTGTAAAGAGCAGCTGGTTACCGTGTGTTTTGCTGCTGTACCATCCTCAGCATACGACTTCAACCTTTCCAACAGCTCAGAGACAGCAGATATTATTTTTTGTACATGTAAGGTGCTCACATCAGCCCAGAAGTCATCCTCTAAGAATTTTGTTAGATGTCCTGACTGCAGTCTCACAAAGCCTGCTGATTCTTTCATTCACAGAAGAGAATGACATGATTAATAAAACAAACATTTTAGCCCCACCATTAACAATCACTATTTCTAACATCTGTCCTAGATTATTACCCAGAAAAGTAAATCATCAAAAATATAAATGAAATGAAACTTTATTTTTTTGTCTGATTTCAGATATACCATCATCTTCTTGTGGTCTTGTATGATCAGTTTCCTCCTCTGTTTTTTTACTGCGTCGTTCAGCGAGGTTCTGGATGGCACAAAGAATGGCTCGGATGGCAGTTTCCATTCGTTGTGAAAATTCTTCCACAAACCCATCATCCAACATTTGGTTTCCTAATAACATGGTCCAGAACAAACAAAACCAAAAAACACAAGCCAACAATTATTTACTTCAGTGCCTCTGGAAATCACTAACAATCCTCACTTCAACAAAGAGCTACCCACTAATCACAGTGGAGAGCTACATCAAGCTGTGCTACAAAGATGTGTAAGATACATTCCTTGCCTACACATGTAGTACAAAGTCAATGACATGAAGACAATCCAAAAGCAAGTATTCAAGCAAATGAAGAAAAAAAAAGTTCCTACACACCAGTCTACCTTAGAACCCTAGACAGATATAGCTAGAACAAAGTATGTGTCTTTTGGATAATCTAGTCTTAAATCGACAGATTCTGGTATTCTGGACCTTTACTCCCTTATTGATCAATAGTGCTCACCTCCTGTGCTGTCTGAAGCAAGGAGATGTGTCTTCCAGTTATTAAAGTCATCTGTGGCTTTATTGATTTCTCCTCTTACATAGTCCAGGCTCTCAACTAGTGCCATCTGTATGCCTGTTTGCTCAACCTCCATTCCTGGAATAATGAACAAGGACTCTAGGCCTTGCAAATGAGCCGACACCTCAGACAGACAACTCAGTCCAGACGAGCAAACTTCAAAATCCTTCCTGCAACAGAAATGTCATAATGCTGAAAGGAAGGAACTAACACACATGTGAAATGCACCCACATACACACACACTAAATTTTTCAGCAGGACAAATTTCATCATATTTAAAGATTTAGACATTCTAAAGGTACACTGCAGAACCACTGAAAAATGAAAGATTGAAGTATAATTCCTTTCAAAAATTTTCCCATTACTAAGCCCTGGAAAGCATCTAACTACACATAGAATAAAAGTAAAGACCTAGGCACACTCACCAAGAATGAAAGAGAGTCTCACAAGATTGCTGCCTAATTTTATCAACATCAGCTTTCACTGTTTTAATGATTTTCATCATCTGCATTAATCTTGCTGTTGACTGTTGCCAAAGCTGGTCCTGCTTCCGCATCCGGCAACCAGAGGGCAGCTGGCTTCCAGGTACTGGGGATGGATAGCTCAGATCTGCTGAGATGAGGTCCAGCACTGCTCCAGAAAGTTGTCCCTTCATGAGCTCTGGTCCTTCCAGGGGTGGGGGAGACGGCTGACCCTGTACTTGGGCATCTCTCTGTCCTGGAGCTGGTCCTGCACTCGGACAGCATTGGAGGAGCCAGGAGAGCTGTTCAAGCAGGATCTGGCTCTGCATGGCCAGGTGCTGTAGCCTTTCAGTCCACTGTTGCACCCCATCCTGAGGGGGGAAGGCCACAGGATAGACCAGTGGCCCTGTCAACCTGCCCTGAATTTCCTGCACACAGCTGAGGAGATTCCTGTACAGAAAAACAGGAAAATACAATGGCACCATAGAATGTGTCACCACACTGTTTTTAACAATAAGTTTACTTGTGAACCAAGTAGGCTTTCTCATTTAATAAAGTCATAACCAAGAAGTTCCTACCAGGAAATTCTTAGCAGACAAGTAAAATGTTAAATAGTTTTCCTATTACTTAAATACATCTTTCAGTCTTTTGTATCAACTCACTGCCAATTACAACTCTCTCACCTCTAACATAGTCACAGCAGTGCAATGATTTCAACCATTTTTTTTTAAAAAGGCTCAGCAAATGCAGTATGTCTTACCAGAAAATCCCTAAAGAGTAGAGCTGAATCTAAAATGATTAGTCTGTAAATACTACCTCTCACTCAAAACTCCACTCAGTAGTTGATAACAGTCTTCCCCACTGTCCTCATTTTTTAAAGATCTTGCTCTCTTGAGGAGCAACCCTATATAGGTCAGCAAAGTGCTACTTTGTAATCTAAAAAGCTCTACAAACTGCTCTGTGCCCAGACATTTAGATGCCTTAATACCGTAAGCACAATCCTGTCTCTCAGGTAACAAACTGTCAACCGCAAAGGCCCCACTTCTCAAAGACAGTATAGTTCAGTCACAATTTTTACTGTTTCAGTCCTAAACTCAATGCCCATTTTAGAAGTGGGCAAACGTACATCACCAAAGCTCTAAGCCAAGAGAAAGCCCAACTACAGTCTGGGTCTCAGATTTCGCCTCATGATTGAGAGAAGCATGTGCAGCAGCTCTCAGCACAGAACTCTTCCTAATTTAGGTCACAAACCCCAAAGGTCAGCTGATACCTGAGAAGGATCCACTGCTCAGTTAGGGTAGTCAGGTAGCGCCGCTGTCGGATAAGCAGCTTCATCAAATGCGCGGAGAAGCCTTTACACCGCTCTATGTTGCCTATGCCCAGGTCCTGACAGAAGGAGGAGAAAAGCAGCCTGATGGTGTCACTGGTAAAAACCACCACCCAAACAGGAGCCACTGAAAGTTGTTTTATCCCACCCAGCAATCTGCAGGGAGAGTTGCTTGCTCAGTAAGGTTTGTACATGCTCATCTTTTTGAGCAGTTCTTCTCAAATTATGCATCCACTGCTCAATGACATTCCATAAAGAGGAACCAAATTTAACACCAAAATGGGATACCAGTGATCTTTCTCAATTAACAAGAGGGGGAAAACCTGAAGATGACATTCTTATTTTGAGGTTTTTTCCTATAATTTTTCTTACACATTTGGATCCTGCTGGCAACTATGAATGTCTTTATTTTTAGAGGCTCTTAAGCACAAACAATACTGATTTATATTTTAATGATGATGTGCTTTCAGTCACTTCCAGTGTGGACTATATCACCTGGCAAGGTCTGAGAATGCTGCCCTTGGCTGAAAAGAACAGGAACTTTCCCTCGAGCCCTGCAATGCTAAGGTTCTATTACTTTACCTTGGCAGGAGCTGTGAAAGCTGCACTAAGTCTGGCATGTCGTGCAAGAGAGCGATAAAAATACTTCTGGCATCCATCCCATGAAGATGAGATTTCTGCAAGCAGCCTGTAAAAGAAGTCAACATGAATTAGTTAACTAAAACCACTGTCTCCCATCCCAGAAACAAAAAGCTCAGAGATAGGTATATTCAACAACAACCCAAAGCCAAGAGTCTTAATAGCCTCAAAAGTGCTGTCTGTGACTAATACTAAGTGAGGTACTCACAAGTCCTTTATACAAAACATGCATTATATACTTAACACTGGAAGCAGAGTGGAGAAATAAATTACGACAACCCTGTTTCCTTAATGAAAACTTTATATAGCTATCGTGCCAGTGGAAGCCAGGCTGATAACTGCAGAGATCTCCAAGGGCCAAAGAGATAACACAGTGATTAAGGGCAAGCAGCCAATCAAAAATGATATATGGCAGTGACAACTGACTCCACAGAGGAAAAAGCCCCAGGAATTACAGCTAACCATAGTGAACTAGAGAGCATACATCCTCTCAAAACAAAGACCTATAGCTAACTTTGGACCAGAGAGGAGAAGAAGCCCACTTGGTCAAATATTCCTAAAAATTCAGAATTGTCTACATAAAATTTCTACTTTTTGCAATGTTGTGTTGAAATTTCAAGCACTGTGAGCAAATAAAACATAAACACATGCTGTATCCAACTCATGCAAATCATCATTTACTAACTCTGTAGTAGTTATTAAGATAGAGGTAGTTCTGTCTCAAAAGTTGTAAGTTAAATTCTAGAGATTTCTTTATATGGAATAGCTACAAATGTGGTCACTCCTCCAGAGTCTTACATTTCTATATTCAAACTACTGAGTAAACTCAGGAAATTTAAAAGCCATCCCCTGCCCCCGCCCCATTGGGAAGAGTGGGGGCTGCAGGATAGGAGACAAATATGAGGAAAAAAGGGAAAAGAAAAAAAAAAATCTTAATGGAATATTTGCCAAGTGCCAGATCTTGAGTCAGGCACTTTTCTACACACTATCTTTTTAACAATGTGAGAGAGGAACTGCTGTTCCATTTTGACAAATAATGAAATGGAGGACTCATTTCATTTATAATAAAACAGGGCCTCCCTGTTGGGGAGCATTATCGAGCTAGCTGCAGCCACTGCAGCATGAGTCGGATCGTTGGCCAGGGAGGTGACCCACATGGCATAGCAGACCTCTCCTATCTCATCCGCTCTCCCCTCAGCAATGTATTTCAGTATATCTACCTGTTCTGTTTCACACTGTCTCTGGTGAGTCCTCTCACACACACCCCCATACCTCGTGCCTACCCCTCCCAGTTCTTGTATGCATACATAAATAAATTAAACCTTAAAAAAAAAACAGATAAACCAACCTAGAATCGGATTCTTGAGTGCTACTGACTATAGACAATGCACTCCGGAGATCTAATGGATGAAGATGAAGCATCTCCTGAGGGCTTTTTGAATGGGCCCAGGTAAGACCTTTGCGATATGACAAACCTAGGAAAAAATAACACGTGTTCAAGTAAAAAAACAAAAACTTGGAAGAGGATGGATATACCACCTTTTCCTTAACATTACTCCTTAACATTATACTTAACAGTAACTTCTTAACATTACTCCTTAAGGTTAACTCTCTGGGACGTTATCACCTGGGTAGTTGGTATAAAACTACCCTGCCTAACATCTGTTTCCTAATGTTAAGGAAACAGAATCTGCTTCTGCATTTAAGATCCCCCAACTGATTCAAATGTGTCTTAAAGTTTAAGCACTGCTCCCTAAGCTATGCTGAAGGGTGAATGCTGTACATACAACATGTGGTAATGAAAATGAAAATATGGTTTCTGAAAAATCTCATTACAAAACCATTAAAAACTTTGGGGATTGCAAATGGTTCCTCGTTAAATTTTTATTTGTATAACTAGAACTCGTAGAAAGGCATTTCAAAACCTTCTATTTTCTACCACTTCAATTCTTGAAATTTCTCCCAAACCATCCATTTTGTTTTTCTCTTTAAAAGCTGGTAATTATACACATTCAAGTTTTAGGTGTGAGTCTTACCAGTTTTAGCAAGGTGTTTAAAGAGATCTGATAAAGCTCGCTGCTTCTGCATGAGAATGTGCTTGGCTTCTGACCTCTGCTTTTCCTTCTCTGCAGAAGGATCCACTTTTAAGTTCTGCAGTTCATTCACAGAGGAAATCACATCACCTGTGAGAAAAACAGGGAAGAAATACAGAACTCTGAAGGGTTTATTGAAGTATTAAATTCACCCCAGACTAAGGACTCTTGGAGAAAGGAGGACCAGATGTCAGATGTCATTTATATTCCGGGTAGTTAATGCAGTTCATAACATTTGGTAAATACTCAGCAAGTCAACTGATCAAGATGCATGAACTCACAAAAAAAACACACATAGGATTTCATATCTCAAAACAAAACAACCCATATAAAAATAGCTATTTTGTAAAACTAGGGGTTTATAATCAAGCAAAAAGCACTTCTTAAGCACCATGTGCTTAAGAATTTATTTATACTAGGAATTTATTTCACCTAATGTAAATTTCTAATAGCACAATACACTGAACACTTACCTCACAATAACATATTTGGCCACAATAACATATTTGGCCACAATAACATATTTGGCAAACATTTTTGTTTAATCTGTACACTCTAGAAGCATATATTTGTAGCTTCCCATAAAGATCTAATTACTTTCCAAAGGTTATTAGCTAAAGAGCAGATGAAGCCTGCACTTGAACCCTGGGATAACTTTTACAAATCCCACTTCTTCTCTAGCACTGGTCTGGCTTCCATAAGGTGTTGCTAACCTGCCACCAGCAGTATTATGAGCTGAGTCCCTCAAAATTCATGTAGAATCCTAACATTTAGTACCTCCAATTGTGACTATATTTGGAAAGAGTCTTTAAAAAAGGTAACTGTGGGGCCCTAGTGGTACAACAGGTTAAAGCACTAATGAAGCTATCTGAAGCCACTGTAGCATGAATTCAATTCCCATTCAGGGAAGTGATCCACATGACACAGCAGACCTCTCCTGTCTCGCCTGCTGCTTCCCTCAGCAGTGTGTTTCATGCCATTTGCCTGTTCTGCTCCCCACTCTGTCTCTGGTGAATCTTCTCATTCCCACTACCTGTGGCCTGTACCCCCCCAGTTCTTGTATGCATGCATGCATGCATAAACAAATAAAAAGGTAATTGTGGTAAAATGAAAACATAATGGTGAACACTAATGAAATCTAACTAGCATCCTGTAAAAAGAGAAGGAATTAAACATTAGGATGTGCACAAGGCGAAGAATACGTGTAAGCACAGAGAAGACTGATGTCTACAAGCTGAACAGAAAGGACTCAGAAAAAAAACAAAGCTGCCAACACTTTGATCCTGAACTTTTTTAGCCTCTAGCGATTGAAGAAATGTTTATTGTTTTAGCCACCTATTTTGTGGGACTGCATTTAGGCACCCCTAGCAAACTAATACAGGCAGTCCAACCTGCCAAGAGAAAACCTACCACACATTGTATTGACAATGTAGGAGTCAGAAGAGACAAGGGACTGCTGTATCATACAGTGTGTACTCTTTCCAGAAGAATCCATATTCCATTCATCCTCATCATCAGGCTCAGGCATGCAGGTCATACTGAGCAAAGGACATTAGACTACTTCTTTGGACAACTTATTTAGCTTCTTTAAGCTTGAGATGCCTTGCATATAAGACTAGTAACAGGCATCATTCAGATGATGCTAATTTTTTATCTTTATTGTTACTATTTTACCACATTTTTTTTTTTAAGATTTATTTATGTATACAAGAACTGGGGTACAGGACAGAGATGTGGGGGTAAAAGGAACCACCAAAGACAGAGTGGGGAGCAGAACAGGCAGAGTGACTGAAATACACTGCTGAGGGGAATGGTAGGCAGGTCAGGAGAGGTCTGCTGTGCCACGTAGGTCACCTCCTTGGCCGGTGATAGAACTTGTGCCACAAGGCTGTGTTCACAGTACTGTATTTTAACCTGTTGCACCATCAGGGAGGACCCTCTTCTACCACATTCTTTAACACTTCTTCATTATTCTACATCCAACTTCTATCTAATTTGGTATACAGGTATCTGATTTTGCCAGCATTTAAAAAAATGTACGATTCAGAATCTTTTCTGATAGAACCCTTTTTATACAATACAGAATTTCTTTTTTCCAGTTGGGAAAAAAAGTATGATCCCTCTTATCCATTAGAACAATATATCCGCCCCCCCCATAAACATGCATAACATGCAAAAAGAACTGAGATCATAAGCTATTACATAGCATAAGAACTATAAGCTAATTGAAGGCCCAGTTCATTCTGACACCAGGCTCACTTATGTAGGGGGCTAGGGTACAGGAAATGGCAAGGGCTGTGCAGCGGCCAGACAATGTACTACATCTATGTTCTCTTCTCTAGCCACTCAGATGTTATATTAATAACTAGATCATGGCTTTCAACTGCCCTGAACAAGACAGGGAGATGAAAGTTAAAAACTCAAGAAGCAAGCTGTCATGAATCTTTTCTTTTAACCCAGGGGTGACATTTTGAGAATTGGAGACAGCTTAAAGTCTGAGAACTCTATCTCTACGGTCTTTATTCATGTCCTCAATTAACAAGAACTAATGCAGGCAAGACTTCTGTAGAAAGGGCAAATACAGCACTAGCTTATGTAAGATGAAACAAGATGAACAGTATAATGACAGTTTATGTGATCTTAGCTGTCTCCTGCCTGGGCGCTGCTCATTTTTAGCCCAATAGTTCAACATTATTTTGACCAAGATGTCAATAGGTGAAGGTAAAAAATTCCCAGCTCTTGGGCCCTCCTTGGTGGCATAGCAGGTTAAAGCATAGCACTAAGAAGCTAAAGCTACTGCAGCACGAGTTCAATACCCAGCCAAAGAACTGACCCACATGGCGAGGCAGACCTCTCCTGACCTGCCCGCTGCTCCCCTCAGCAGTGTCCTTCATCCATCTGCCTGTTCTACTCCCCACTCTGCCCCTGGTGAATCCTCTCACCGCCCCTGCATCTCTGGCCTGTACTACAGTGCTATATGTATAAATAAATCAATCTTTGGAGAAAATAGTGAGGGAAAACCCCACCCTAGCTTAGCAGCAGTTGGTACACACCAGTGAACTCATCGAGGTCCTCTACAAGGTGAGGAAGTTGGCTTTCCTTCATGAGTGTCAGACATATCTTTCTCATTCGTCTCAAGAGCTTTGGTAAACGGCACAGAAGCTCCCCCTCCAAGGGGAGAGATACACCTTGATAGTGTTCGGGAACTGTGACCTGAAACAGAGCACAGGTTAGTCTTACTGTCAAGCACAACAGTGTTTCAATTTAGTACAAAATACTAAATTCACCACTGGTGCTAAATGTAGAGGTTGTCTCTCTCCATATACACCTGGCTTAGCAAATATACTGTTTCTCAGATTCACAGGTAAGGCTTAGGTGATCTGCCAAATCGTACTTCAAACTACCATTCTCTTTACTCTCAAATTCGGGATTAACAGTTCAAATATCAAGAATGCAGATATCAAATAAAGGGAAAGGCTTTTATCCATCAGGGGAATCATGTTTTCTTTTTTTTTTTCCTGGAAAATCTCTAAAAGTCCCAAGCTGTCAATAACAAACAAAAAATCTTGATCAGCATGACAAAATATAGAAGACTCCTGGAATTACCTATACCCACAACATGTATTATATCTGTGCTCCCAAGCTCTCTATGACTGTTACATTTTCAAGAATTTTGTAAGCCAGCTTTTTAAATGCTTGTATTTATAACTGGCCACGATGGGAATGTTGACCCCAAGGCCATTAGCAATCACTACAAATCAGCATATCACTGTACAGACTTAACTCCTTGTATGCAGTAGCCAAAAGGCATGTTCCTCAACTGATTATTGTAATGTTCTCACAGTAAATTGTTTTTTTAAAGATTTTATTTATTGATTGTACAGAAGAGTTGAGGTGTATTCCAGAGGTGATGGGGGTGAGGATTCACCAGAGACAGAGTAGGGAGCAAAACAGGTAACACTGACTAAAATACACTGCTAAGGAGAGCAGCAGGCGAGACAGCAGAGGTCTGTTGTGCCACTCACGTTGTAGTGGTGGTCGCGCTCAGAATTAACCTCTAGGATACTAATTAGGGAGGCCCCGCTCAGTAAATTACTCAGAGTAAATTAAAAAATTTACCTTCCATTGGCTACCTTTAAACTTTGAACACCAGGACCAATTTTTTTGCCTTATTCTGTAGCAGGCTGAACAAGAACAAATGCTATGTATGTCTATAGATTTCAAATGCATTTCTTTGCCTTCTTCTAAGGATACTCCTTACACAGAAAGCAGAGGTTTTACCTAACTGGCCCAGACAAAAAAAAACAAACAAAAAAACACTATCCTATGAACTAATACCTGCACAGCTGCTGGCCGAGCTAAGAGCGTCTCCTTCAGTGCCCTGTTCAGACTTTGAATGGGGGACACCTCACTTGTGGCTGCATCTATTTGCTTCAGCAAAATGTCAGGTTGTTCTTCCTTGTCACTCTCCATCAGGGATGAACGGCACGGTTCACTCAGGATAGTCTCAAATTTCTTCATGAACTTAAAGAGGGTCCTGGTCCCAGGTAGTAACAGAGGAAAAAAATGGGGTTTGAAAGGTGAGGAAATATAAAATTGACAGAATGCATACACAGATAATTTTTTAAAAAAGAGATTTATTTAATTAGTGTATACAAGAGCTGGGGTGTAGGCCAGGGGGCCTGGGGAGAGGGGGAAAGGACTGAGGGAGAAGATTCCCAGAGACAGAGTGGGGAGCAGAACAGGTGGATTGACTGAATACACTGCTGGAGGGGAGCAGCTGGCGAGACAGGAGAGGTCTGCCACGCCATGTGGGTACTGGCTGGGGGATTGAATTCATGCTGCAGTGGCTGGTGACAGCTTGATAGTACTGAGACAACTTCTTGAGCCATCAGGGAGTCCGCCACAGACAACTTTTAAACTACACATTTTGTGTACACTGAATTCATAATTCTTTTTTTCTCTCTAAAGAAAAATGATGGCAGAGATTGTCCCTTCCTTTTCTACAACAAAAAACTAAAGCTGGGAATGGTGGGATCACTTGCTCAAGGTAAAAGAAGGTGGCAGGGGATTCAGGCTTTCTATACCACATAATGGGCTTTGTCTCAAGCAAAACCATTCTTTCTGCTGCAGGTAGACCTTGCTTTGTGTGGCACAAAATGGTAATGGGAAGTCACACCAAAACAACTGTTTTGTAGTTAAGTTCAAGATCACTGGAACAATGCAGTCTTGCTACCATAGGAAAATTCTGAGTTTTGGCCACACCCAGCTTTAAAAGATGAATTACCTGTGTGTCTTTTCCACAGATTGTTTAATGGACCAGAAGCTGACATCATTCCACTTAGATATCTTAACAAATTCCTGTAAGATAAATGAAGCTCAAGCCAGTTTTAAAAGCTTACGCCTTTCTTTTTTCTTTCTAGATCATGTTTGCCAAAGACCCAAATACATTCCTTCCCAAATACAGCACTGTGTATTAGTGAATTAAAAAAAAACAAGTCTAAAAGAGGGCTAAGTGTGTATCAAGGTAACGGGGGGAAAGTGCTGCTATAATCAACAAACCATTTGTTACTTACTCAAGCTTAGAAATCACAAACTAGTGATATCCTTCTATCAGGCTTGACAATGATGTACAAAGTATCAAAAAGAGAGGCTCCTCCTTACCCCCATGGGGTCTCAGAAACACATGAACTAATAGCAGGTGCTGGTCCTCTGAGGTGAGTCAAACAGCTTGAATGAGACCAGAGGAGGAAGCACTAGCAGACCTATGGCAATCCTTTGCCAGAGGTCATTCCATTAACCCTTCACACACTTGCAAGGTCAGCAATGGAGTCAATGCCACAAAATGTAAGCCCTACCATCCTCCATTCCATTCCCCAGAAACCCATGCTTCACTGTTAAATGGATAAAAGAACAAAAGCTAAATAAAAAGAATTTGCTGATTTTATGCTCCCAAGAATATCATGACAGCTGTCCATCATACCTTAAGTTCTTTTTCTAGAGGGGAACGAAGTTCCATAATTTTGGCCTGGATCCGATCAAGGAATTGGTTGTAATAATGGTACAAATTCCATAAAACATTGCAGAGTGAATCTGGACGAAATGAAAAGGAAAAAAAAACACCCTTGCTAAATGTTCTACATTTCAGTAATTCTTCTTTCTCTTTACTCCACATTTCAGTAATTCTCCTTTCTCTTTACTCTTTAGATCAGCTACAGCTCATTTTCTGGGCAGATCTGATTATCTGACATTTCTTTGGAAAGCTTGCCTGAGTTTAGCAATTCCCAGATATGAAGGCTATCAAGATTACTCTATTTTTTAATTTTACCACCCAGTGAATTTTTTTGTTGCACTTTTGTCTCAGAAGATGGTGTACACAGACATTTTGCTAAAATCACAATTCCAAACTCTTTCACTGAATTCCATTATAAAGTCAGCAGAAACTGAGACTATTTTTAAAGATGGTACACTAAGAGGCTCACCTCAACTGTTCACTCACTTGCAATCTACACTCATTTTATAGTGATACTTTATCTAAATTGCTTTTTGGTAATTTACAGTAGGAACTGTATGTACAGTTGTTTGATATATGACAGTGCCCTCCCTAAATCAAAGAACCTATAATGACCTATAGCAAGCAGAAGTCTAGTAAGACATACACGCTGTCTACAGAAAGATGTGCTACCTCAACATGCCAGCTCACAAGAGCTGCATCTGGCAATTTGCCTATGTCAGAATTCACTAGTTAGATTTTCATTTATAATCAATTTGCACTTTAGTGTTTTTTTTTTCTATATTTAATGCAAATCAAAGTAAACAAGGACTGAAGGCATCTAGTTTAAAAGCTGGTATGTATAATGTAGAGAATTCAAAGCCTAACAACACAATAGTACAATATAAAAACAAGGGAAAGAAAGTGTGTATCTTTACCTTTTCCTTCAACTTGTGGCATCAGCAAGACATGACAATGGAAAACCAGTAACATCTGAAGTCGTACATGGAATTCTCCCAGTGAAGATCCTTCAATAAAAGCTTGTAATGTGCTGACCAGCAACATTAGCGTCATCTGCTTGTCATCTTTAAGGGTTTAGTGAGAAAAACATATTTGTGACTATTACTACCACTCTCTATTTATAACATGCACGCAACTATGAGATATATTAAAGGAAGGTCATCAAGTAAAGACCAAGTAAAGCAAAGCACTGAAGTTAAGACCACAGTTAAATTCCAAGCTGACTTAAAAACAACTGCTGTACCCAGGGTATGTTATGACTAACAGCAAACTATGAAACTGAATTATGAGATACCTGTTCTAAATATAAAATGAGACACTTCTAACGTAAGTACTAAAACTACCTCCAGGATAGCAACCTTTATTTTGACATTCAGACACACAGAATGTCGTCTCGACTTTAGATTCTCTTTCACTATTATTCTCTCAGTGAGATAACTACAGAGCTCTCTTGACTGACCTCTCAAAATAACATGAATGGCGCACCCTATGTGAAAGCAACAATTTAAGTTTTTTGGAATCTCTATAGATAAGAAGGGGCATTTACTGAGAGGGGTTACCTTCCTGCTCCTCTGTTTGTTCCTGCATGTGCTTCTCAAGCATCTGATAGATGGAGAACCAGTGCTTGGTGGACTTTTCAGTGTGGCGCTTCAAGGTATTATCTAAACTCATAGACCAGCAGCTGAAACATGAGAGAAGAGGCCAAAGAGGCATTTAAGGAAACCCATTTGAAGTATCTGGAACCACAGAAACAGAAGTTAAATGTTCACTATTCTCTTTCAAAATGGATGTGGAAAGGCTACTCAAAATTTGTTCCCTCAGGAATGTACAGTGCTGCTTGCCTGGTCTCTATTATGGTAATTTAAGTGACCTCATTTTAATTCTGTGATTACAATATGAGAGGATATAAGAATGTGAGAGAAAAGGATATTCTTTGTTATACTACATAAGTCCTGAAGAAGCAAACTTTCAATAGCTGAAACTTTATTTGAACAACATGCATTCTCAGGAGAGGCCTAGGAAATGACAAATACATCACTTACTTTAATTCCAGTTTCCGCCATCGAATGATCACCTGAGTAACTAAATCGAGATGTTTCCTAAGAGACAGAGCTCGGCTTGCATTCTCCTCCCAATCCTAAACAAACAGATAAAATTAGTATGGCTAATGCTCAATACATAACCTCTCTCAGGAACATCTAGACTTTTTTTGAGTAAAGACATTTGGGTCTTTACACAAATTACAGAATTATCTTCGGTAACAATAATGAGTTTACATCTAGCCTAGCCAGTTTCAAGTTCTTTCTGATAACTGGAAAGAATTCTAAGAGAGCCAAGTTTAGAGGCAGGCAGAAGCACAGGGTTGGAGGCACAAGTCTAAACCCCTGCTGTTAGTTATGTGACCTCTCCAAAGATCAGAGCCCTAATATAATAAACAGGGAGGCACAGCCACTTCACAGGCTCTGAGAAGATTGAGGGGGTTAATGATGACACAATCTGTTTAAAAGTTGGCCCGAAGTTCTGGCAGAAAGAACCCTTGATGTAGGTGGCCGTCCACTCTTGAGAGAAGCTGAGGCAAGACTTTCATATGCCCCATGGAAGCAAAGGCTCCACTTGAAATTGTCTGGCTTCACGCCAGACTCCATCCAACCAAACTCTATCTTTTTCTCCCTCTAAAGGAGACACAAGGTCATCTTTTCTCAATTGATTATAAATTAAAATGAGCTAAGAGTCAGTCACCTTACCTGTGCTTTTGCGAGAAGGATTTCTAAGCCATTCAGGAACTTTGAGATGGGGCTAGAGAGTGGGAAACTACGTATTCTGTCCATTACAACCAGCAGCTGCAGGAAAAAAGATTTGGGTATCCCACAGTCATAGGGTACTGAAGAGAAGCCTCCCAAAGGTTCTGCTTTGCCAATACCTTTGAAAGTGATAGATGACACTTCCAAGATTGAATGCTGACCAAGGGAAACACTTTATCTGCTCTGTTATTCTAGAAATACGGTTGAATATGTTAAGAAAACTACTCCTGGCCCTCCCTGGTGGTGCAGCGGGTTAGAGCAAAGCACTGGGAAGCTTAAGCCACTTCTGCATGGGTTCGATTCCCGCCTGCCCCGGGGGTGATCCACATGGCAAGGCAGACCTCTCCTGACCCACCCGCTGCCCCCCTCAGCAGAGTGCTTCATCGATCTGCCTGTTCTGCTCCCCACTCTGTCTCTGG